GTCAACAGACCACCAGCGTCCTGGCCTTCCACGGCAAGAACGTCCCCAGCATCTCAATCCTCAGCTATCTGAGTAGAATTCACAAATACTGCCCCACTACGTACGAGGTCTTCTTGAGTTTACTCGTCTACTTCGACAGAATGACAGAGAGGGTAAATGCTGGCCCTATATCTGGTCTTCGCAAGGCTAATGAGCAGTCTGTTGAACACTCAAAGTCTACAATGTCAGCAACTCCGACCCCGGCAGAAAACGCACGACCTACATCAGCTTCCGCTCAGGCGGCGACCCCTCCTCCGTCAGGCTCCTTGGGCAAGCCATCGCAAACGCCAGGGGACAATGCCCAGCCGCCCTCCCCATCGCAACAAGATCTCGGCGTGGATGCGCTGAATCTATCCCACTTCTTTGTTGTTGACAGCTTCAACATACATCGTCTCGTCATAGCCGGCGTTACATGCGCCAGCAAATTCTTCTCCGACGTCTTCTATACAAACTCGAGATACGCAAAGGTTTGTGTTGGCCGATACACATTATGAAAACGCATGCTAACAGGTTCAAGGTCGGCGGTCTACCCTTGGTTGAACTGAACCACCTGGAGTTGCAATTTTTGCTATTAAATGATTTCCGCCTCGCCGTACCTCTGGAAGAAATGGAGGCTTATGGAACGATGTTAGTCGAGTTTTACGCGCGTGAAGTTGCCGAGCAGCATGAACGAGAAAACAGTGGAAAACAGTAATCTCGCCGCCCATCTCACCAAATTTGCTACGGTCCGTTCGACTGAGCGAAACCAGCATGACGGAGGAGGGCAGAGAAAGACTGCGGATCAACACCGAACAAACAGAAGGATTCTTCACGTCCAGTAGAGACCACAGGATACCACTATTGCGCAAAACATATGCCATGGCATATCTTTGACATCCAGAGTCTTTGTATTCTGGAATAATTTGAGAAAGGCAGACATGATGCCGAAACCCACGAGGTGACGACTTTGGTCCCAGCATGCGAGCGAGTGTTCTTCTTCCTTGGGTGTGTGTGTGTGCGTAGATTCTGGGATACCAACTGCCTGTCTTTTATTTTCAAGAGAGATTGATGACATTACGACAAAGTCTCATTCATCTGAGCTTCGTTTTCATGCTCTGCCCCTTTTGTATTCTTTGTTTTGATACCTTTTTGTGCACCATTAGGGTGGCGTTTATAGAGGTGCAATTCGAGGACATTGTTTCGATAATTATTATGCATTGGTAACCTGAAGAGCTTTGCATATGATGACCTGGTTCCTGGTCGCAGCGACTGAACAACAAAACATTCTCGCGAACCACGGTATAAGTGCCAAAAGTACACACGCATGAGGGGTAGCTCAGCCCGCCCCTCCATTCTAGATTTCTACCTTCAACCAGGATGCCAGTCTCACCTACCAGAAAAAAGCGACATAGACCCCTCCGTCCCGCCCCCCTGGATGCCAAATCGCCGCCGCTGCAAAGCCAAGCTTATCCATGAATCATGCCACCACCACCACCACACGCAGAATCCAAATTAACCCCGAATCCCCCCATCCCTGATCCCTCGCGCCAACCATATTCCACCCGTAAGTTACCTAAGCCAGGGGTAACACTCAGACTCTCGGAACAAAATATACCCACGGTGACACTCGCTCAGGTAAAATACCTAGGTTATGCACGTACCACATGTCGATCTATGTTGTGTCGTGTGTCCCGAGCATAATCTGACGCAGAGTCCACTCCGCGCGATAAAGCACACATGACACGTGAGACCTGAGATGAGACTAGGCGTGCGCGCCGCGGAAAAGGACCCTTGATAGCGGTAAGCGGTAATTGCAGATGAAATCATTTGGGCGGAAGTGCGCTGTGCGGCGGGCGGTAGGGGAATTGTGCTTGGTTTGTTTCCTTTTGAAGGGGCGTGGGTTTGTGAATTTTGTAGACTTTCCCATCGTCACTCTTTTACAAATCTTTCGGTCTCTTCTTTTGTGTCTTGCGGCTGTCGAGCATCTGGGTCATTGCTTGTCGTTATTCTTTGTTTTCGTGGGGCCTGCGCGTAGGTTGTCGTTTCGTGTTGCGTGGTTTTGCGATGCTTCGTTCGTCTTCCGCGCCTGCATCGTCGTCGACCGGTGCCTCGTATTCGTCCTCGCTATCGATAACGTCGTTTTTTCAGTATGGGTTCCTCGCTGCGCTAGCGTATATACTCGCTGGCGCGCCTTTGTCGTCGTTGCTTACTTCGAATGCGGGCGGCGATGCGGTGTCATCGAGTAGCGCTGGTGCGAGAGGTGGTGGTGATGTAAAAGCCAATCTAGAAAATTTGGTGATTCCGGAACGGAATTTGAGTTGCGCAGCGCATACATACAAGGGTGTCTATGTCCTGAGTCGGGAGCCGTTGGTGGTGTATATTGAGGGGTTTGTCGGTGAGGAGGAAGGGAAAGAGGTTGTTGCTTTGAGGTACGTCCGTTCTTGATTGCTGCTGCTTCGAGATATCCCAGGGTATAGAAACGGACTCTGTTTTCATGGGACTTGCCATGTAATAGTCATGCTGCATACTTATGGACGAGGCGAACACAACTAACAGTACGACCGCAGCAACCCCCACTTCACTCCCTCAACAGTATGGACCTCCGGCACCGAATCCTTCAAACCCGCGATCCGCAACTCAGAGAAAGCACCCTTGCCCCGCAGTCAAACAGTCAAATGCATCGAGGAGCGCGCCCGCGTGTTCCAAGGCTGGCGGCCGTACACTTTCATCGAGAAACTCTGGAGCCAGAGATATGGCGTAGGAGGCCACTACACATACCACTACGACTGGAGCACTGCGACCAAGAAAAGCGGGCGCGTGAGTTCCTTCATGGTGTATCTTGAAGCAAACTGTACGGGCGGAGGCACTCATTTCCCGCGCTTGGAGAAGCCTGAGGATAAGAGTTGGTGTCGGTTTATCGAGTGTGGTGAGGATGATGACGCGACTTTCTCTGCCTCGAAAAATGAAGGTGTCTCCACGAATGGTGTTCGGCAAGAGGGAGGGCCAAAGGAGGATCTGAGCAAAGGCATCATTTTCAAGCCGATTGCTGGGAACGCGGTGTTTTGGGAGAATATGCGGAGTGATGGGACTGGATATGCGGAGAGTTGGCATGCGGGGTTGCCGGTCACGAAGGGCGTCAAGATTGGGCTCAATATTTGGAGTTGGTTGGCTGAGGGGTATGTGCCAGCGGATGGAGAGGCTTGAAGACTATTACGAACAGAAAAAGGATATGGAAGGACGAAGATCAAGCCAGTATACTCGCGTCGCGTTCATCGCGTGTAGAGACCTCGGGATGAGAGAGATCAAGCCACGGAAGAAGCCCTTTATGGATAAGAGCCCTATCTATGATTGGGTAGACCTTCTCAACACGCTCCGCTGCCGCCTGGCAAAGCTGTTAGCCTCCTCTGGCATCGCAAGTAGAGGTGTGTGCTCCTGTGAGAAATTGATCTGACATGGAGTGGCGTCGACGAACCTCTTCTGTAGAAAGACACAAACAAGGCCTTCTTCGTGTGGAGCGCATCAATGCATCCTGCTCTTCTACGTGGTGTACCACCCGAGTCAGACTCGGTGCAGCAAACTTGAGCTGCCGTATCGCTCGCTCCGCAACGTGACACGAGAAGGGCGCAAGGGCGATACTCAAGATGCACCTGCCCCATCAAGGCGCTGAGTCAGCCGCGCAACCATAGCATCCATTCTTCACAACACCTGCAACGACATCCTCCTTCTTCATCAATACCCATCAGCATGGCAATTATTCTGCGGGAGGTTTCCGACACCGACATCGCGCGAGGCTGTGAGATCGAGTCTCTAGCTTTCAAAGATAACCCTCTCGGCCCCATCCTAAACCCAGGTCCGTTTCCTCCGGGAGCATCACAACAAAAGATCCAGCAGATCATCGACATGAGGAATAACGATTCTACTGTCCATTTGATTCAGGCTTTCGATGAATCCACTGATCAGATGGTAGCATGGGCGAAATGGCACGTCTTCGAAACTGCCTAGACCGCGCTCGCTTCGTTTCAACCTTTGCGCCTTGGTCCTGGGATGAATGCGGAAGCCTGCAAGATCTTCTTTGGGGGAATGGCAGAACGGAGGAAAGCCATCATGGGAGAGAAGCCGTATCTCTGTAGGTTTGCGCGCTAGTTGTGTCGCAACGTGAACTCACACCGTCTCCATACTGATAAGTCTTAGACCTTCAATTGCTATATACACATCCAGAGTTCCAAGGCAGAGGTGCAGGAAGTCTCCTCTTAGATTGGGGAAAGCAGCGTGCCAAAGACCTTGGTCTTCTGATTTATCTGGCGTCTACCCCCGTGGGCCATCGCTTTTACCAGATACACGGTTTCGAAGACGTCGAGATCTTCCGACTGGATTTCACCAGCTTTAATGGGCCCGTTCATGAACAGCCGCTGATGGTGTGGAAGCCACCAAGTTCGTGAGCAAATTATTGCGAATAGCATCAGTTGCACCATACGCGCTCTACTGACTTGGGAGATTTATCCCATTCACAAGATTGCAAATTCATCTGTCCAGATGTCCTCGTGTTCCTCCTACCCCGAAGTTGTATATGTACCGCGCAGCAGCTTGTTTGTTGTGTCACTGTTGATACTCGAGTCGTAAGCCACGCGTCTTGGCCCCTCCGGCGTTCTCCATGTTGTTTTCGCTACAATCCACCTTTGCATAGCCATGGCTATGTTACAAGCAGCAAAATCAGCGAACATCATTCTATTACCCTGTCACCGTTCTCTCCAACCTCTGAGCCGTATTGTCGATAATACCAACAAAGGTCACATGCCGTAGGTGTTGCGCGGACGGCATTCTTCCGACCACGCCACCTTGGCGAAGGACGATATTCTGCCGGAATTTAGATTAAGGGAGGCAATCTCGTTGACGCGCTCGCATGTCTCATGCTTCTTCGCTGACGTCCCCTCTCAACACATAATTCTGTCCGAAAACCTTCAGCCAGACGCTGCAAGTTCGGGATGAATTCACCAGTCACTTCCGACGAAGAAACCTTCGATCCAGGCCAGGTAGTATCGCAAGCCTACCACACCGCAGCTGATGCGAGCAGAAGCTCTGCTGATACATCGCCTTTGCAAAGGATACCCAAAGACGACGATGTTAGTCTGAGGACAGAAGCTTTAGACCGTCTGAGATGGAACGTCCTCGCCCCGCTACCGACAGTCGAAGTCGTCGATCTCAACGAAGCAAGCGAGTTCTGCTGGAAGCCCCTGTTCACTAACCCCAAGCATCCTCTTGCCGAAGAACCAGTGACCGCACGACCAACTTTTGATATCCGTGTCATTTTCGTCATGATTCACTACTGGAAGTGCTTGGGCATGATGGACGAGAGCCCACCACCTCTACACATTCATAACACAGACGGACAAGCAATCACTGTCGAGCAATTTGTTACTCAAGTTTCAGCGTACGCGGAAAGCTTGCGAGAGATGATTGACGAGATCGAAGATGTGAGCTTGGCGGCGGAGAAGGAGAACCGTTGCCTCTACTATTATTCCAATTATGGATTGCGGAGCTGGAATAGGGGAGGGACGGAAGACGTCTTTCCTCTCAACTTCAAGTCCTCCATCTCGAGTTCAGCGGAAGAGTTTAGGGAACACTGGGTGAGGAGAGAACGGCTGTTCAAAGATCATCTGTTAAGTGACCCTACAAATACAGTCCACATAGCGCCAGGGTCGATAGATTTCGCCGAGGCAAGTAAGAACTTCCGCCTCATTCCTGAAGAGGTTCCTCGTAAGGAGGAGAGCCTCTTGCACACGAGTGCTCTAGACCGCCTACGATGGAACCTACTCGCCCCACCATCTACCGTTCTAATCATCGACTCCAATGAAGAGGGCGAGCCGAGCTGGCGGCCAATGCTGGTGGATCCAAAGCACCTTCTAGCTGATGAAGCTGTTACCGAAGTACCGCGTTCACGAATGTGTGTAGCATTTGACATGGTCGAAGCTTGGGAGTGCTGGGAGAGGTACGATGACAACCCACCCCCACCGCCTCTACTCATCAAGAATTCCGATGGGAAAGCCATCACTATTGAGCAGTTCATCGTAAAGGTCTCCGAATACGCTCAAAGCTTGCGGGAGACGATTTTCGAGTGCGAGGGTCGCTCTTTGTCGGGGTCCGAGGGTGCGTGTCTTTGGTTCGATGCGGCATTCGGACCGCAACGGAAGGATGCCGAAGATCCAGATATCTTGTTCCTCGTCGGATTCACGTCCAATATCTGGTACTCAAGCAGCCAAATTGAAGCGGACCATGTTCAGAAGGAGAAGAAATTTGTCGAACGATCAAGGTAGAGCGGACTTGACGCTTCGTACTTAGCACGAATGGCTGCAAAGTAGCGAAACGGCCTTCCGCGATTGTTGCTCTTCCGACGGATGGTGTGCAAGATCCAAGAGCCATTGTACCGCAGAGTGTCAGATTACGTCCCACACTCCATCCGGTAGACCAATGTGACGAAAAGTCACTATCGAAGCGGAATGATCCGAAGGGCGCTTATGATGTTTTGCTACTGGAATGGCAAGGTGGATGTGCTGAGAGAATTGGTCGGCCAGATTTAGATCGGCGTTTGGAAGACATTGGGGCCGGTACGAAGACAGATCTTCAATCGTGAGACAGTCGGTATGCGTTATCAGAGTACTAGGTATGCATTGTGAACACTTTAGCAGTAAACAGTGTGGATAGATCAGGTCGAGCGTGACGTGGAAGAATAGTACGACGCTCACCGCAAAGATGAACACACCGCAAAGATGTACTCACCGGAAACATGTCCAGGTAGCCTTCGCTTACAGTCCTTTTCCCAACGACGCGCGCGGCCGAACAATCGTCGGAAGATAGCATCCGTTTGGTGGCGTCCAGTGAGCGAGCGTAGAGCTTTGCTTCTTTTTAACGGAGAATAGAGTGCGCCTTCGACTTTGTTCCCATCTGTTTTGAAGTCCCGGAATAGTGCATTTTGTCAGAGGAGTGTCATCTATCTGCCCAGACATCTTTCATTCCCTAGTCACACTTGTGCCTAACACCTCAGTATGGGAAATTGCGGCCCCGCGAATTTCCCATGTCTGATCGACACCCAGAGATAGCCGAGAGTCGATTATTCGGTCGCGCAGGGGCAGAGGCTAATCTAGAAGGAGCACGTCTACATCGGATGGCTCTTGTAGACAATGCCATCTGTTGTAGATTTAATTGCGATGCTCGTCAATAGCTCACAAATGTGTTCTAAGCTCAATAGCACGTCGTCTCAAAGCTACATAGAGTTCATCTGGTACCCGTGAAAACATGCGCTTGTACTGAATGACTTTTGCTTCTTTCAGGCGGTCGGGGAGGCGCCAAGGCGGTGGGGATGCTGTCGGTGAGGCTGGTCGACGAGGCTGTCGTTTCGCTGAGTCCCTCCCGTGCCACTCGGGAAACTTCAAAGATTGCTTCTTTCGGGCGGTCGATGAGATTGACGCTGCTTACCTAGGTAGGTAGGTACGTCCACGGGTGGTGTACCCAGGTGGAAAGGCGATTCCTCATCGAGCTTAGCACAGAAGCCGAGTGGCATGCGGGAGGCGGCAACAACGGCTGCACCCCACCGTGACTTCTACCCCCACCACACCACCCCAGGGCAGATCCGTTACTTACAGCAGCGACTAACACAGATAGCTCCAGAATGCAGCAGATTGACCGCTCTCTGGTTGCGGATTATCACCATATCCGCTGTAGTTCTTTTCCCTGATGAGGCTAGAGGAGCCAGTGCACCCTTAGGAGAATCAGGTACCGAATGTGCGAAACATCGAAGCACGGTTCGCTACAGTGTGTCGTACCTCACCCTACTACCCCAACGCTTCTGACACTATGCAAAAGACAAAGTGGTCTCGTGAAAGCTTGCGCTTGGCACTCAACATGCTCTCAGCAACTGTCGGTCTGGCATTCTTGCACGTTTCGTTGGACGATCTCCTGTATTCACACCGGACTGTATGAGACCAGCGCGAAAAAGAAACAAGAAAGAAGACCTCAGAGCAGAAGAGACACGATGTTTAGCACACGCGAGATGTGTATATAAGACCTCACATCCTCGACTCTAAGTTTAATCATCAGCTCATCACAACAATCACTACAACAAATATCTTCACTTCCACAACACCACTCACTCTTACAACTTCCAATCGTTCTTTCGATCCCAACAACAACTTCAAAATGCAGTTCTTCATCACCATCCTCTCCCTGGCTGTCGCCGTCTCCGCTGTTCCCCAAGGCAACGGCAACGGAAACACCATCTGCAAGGGTGGAAACGAGAGGGCAGTCTGCTGCGCTTCCAAGGATGCGCTCGTCGGCGCCCTTGAGTGCGTCACTCTCCCTATCAGCGTCCAGCAGCCCGGCTGCGATGGCAGCATCCGCTGCTGCGACATCGGTGACCAAAAGGATGTGAGTCACCCCCTTTCACGCTCGCCTCCATCAGCTCATACTAATCTGCAACACCAACAGGGTATCGTCAACGTCAACGCCCTCAACTGCGCCAGCGTCGCATAAACAGATCGGTCACACATTTCGGGACATGGAACAATTTCGCAGGAAACGGGGATGGGAGCTACAAGAGGACTGTTCGCAGGGGCTTCTTTGGATTTCTACTTCGCTCATTCTGGGTCTTCCGATGATTTCTTCTCTTTCTTTGGAGGACCGCTTTATGAAGTGGTGTCTCAACTCTTGGGCGTTCAATTTTAGACACGGGCCAGATGTTTTGGTGTTTAGTAGAAAATGCGATTCATGATCAAACCACAAATCTGTTCCACTGCTCAAGAGCTCGATGCCTCATTCGGAAGTGTACTGTCTGCTCTCTTACTCTAAATTTCGCAGTGCAGAACCGCTCGCTTGCCATGCTTGGAATCCTACAGCCTCGTCTTCTCAGCCTTGCTACTTTACCTGCTCATACGCGCTAGAGGTTGCAGTGCAAAGACAGCTCATTATACGTGCCTTGTGTTTTCGTAAGCGATGCCCTTCCGGTGAACATCGGAACAGAAGTACACATGCCACTGGTCGAACCCTTGCCATCCTTCACGCACACAGCCCGCCCCCACATTCCCGAAGTCAGCAACAGCTCGTCCACGCTAGAGATTGCAGTGCATGCTCAGCCTTACTGTTGAACCCCCTCACCCGCGCTAGAGTTTCCAGTGAAGAATCATACGCTAGCTTTCCAAGGTTCTCTAGAAAACGACTGACTGCCAAATCTATACCTTTATTGGTCGCACCGATATATATTCTACCTACTCAGCCTTTCTCTCGACGTGCGCCCGTAAACTGAGCGATGTCTTGATATTGTCGCGATGTGACCACCTTGACAGTGATAGCTCGCCCTTCCCCATTGACAAGGATAAGGGCAAAAAATAACACGCTGGCGGGAGATGAGTGCTTGGTGTTGTGAGACGATGGAATGAAGGGAAAAGCTGTGAACAACAGTGGACACATTCACTCCGGCGGACGCTGTCCCAGTTTGGCAGTTCCCAGGTATACCATCGATTGCAGTGACATTCAGAACATTACGATGCATCATGTAAATTCCACGTGTTCTGGCGACTTTTGTACCAAGTCTCGAAGAAAACGTGACAGCAGTCCCGATTAGGCAAGTTTTGGCTTGGCGTAGATTTCAGCAAATAGCACCAATGACTTGGTGGACCTGCGTGAAGTTGCGACCCAGCGCCTGCTCTGTGACACAGCCACCACCTGAACAGACATAATCTAACGAACTATCTCGAATGAGAAGGATCATACAAGCCACACGTAGCATCAAAGCAGGAGAAAGAGGTAATAAGATGACTTTTATATTCTATGCATTGAATTCCCGGTATATCATCCCAAGAAACAGATCCAAACGCCGATCATGCATTCATAACCTCCCATTCCTTTTCCCCTTGTTCCCTTCTCGTTCCCTCAACGTGTCTAATCAACATACTCAGACCGCACCTTCTTCGCCCTCCTCTTGTTGGCTTTAAAGTGCTTCTTGCTGTTCATCTTCATCTCCGTGGGGTCGACATCTGCCTCAAGCGCAGCAACCATCTTGGCTTTCCTGCCGCTGAGCTCCTTGCCTTGCTCACTGTACTTGTAGTGGAAAGGCTGGTTAACCCTGCCCATACCTTGCCCAGGGCCGAAGAAGCGCTTGTCCATGCGTTGTGTCTTCTCTCCCTGGACGGGTACGCCGACATCGAGCTCGTCGTCCATCAGCGACATGTCATCGTCTAGCGCACCGGCGAGGGAGGTGTTGCCAGGGAGAGAGGCGAGAGGGTGGTGCCGGCGCTTGGCGGGAAGATGGTCGACGTCGTAGAGTTCGCGGTTGAAGTGCTTGGGGTCTAGCGGTGGGTCGGTAGGTGGAGGGTGGCAGAAGAGAATCTTGCCCTTGACGTAGTCCTTGAGAATGTATCGCGCCGCTCGAGACTCATCTGGCTGACCAAGACCCTGGGTGGAGAAGCCTCTGGCGATGGCATAAGCACGTAGGATTTCCTCGGATGTCAGAATACCAGTTCCGCCCTCTTCCATAGGTCGGGGGTGGATCTTCATTCCGTAAAGCGCTTCAAGGAAGGGTTGCGGAATGCGACGTGCGACAAGACCCGCGGGACCAGTGTATTCGCGAAGTTGATCGATTGGCAGTACACCAGCACATACGAGCTCGGCTTTGGTTGTGGCAAAGTTGGGGAACACTAGACCAGGACAATCGCAGAGCATGACCTTGTCACTGAGATGGATGGTCTGGAAGTGCTTGGTCTTTCCGGGTGTTGCAGAAACCGACACCTTCTTTGCACCAATCAACGCGTTGATCGTGGACGACTTTCCGACGTTGGGGTAGCCGACAAGACCAATTGACGTCTTTCGCGGCTCGCCGTTTGGTCCGGTATCAACATCAGGCGCATGTTGGAGGAACAGGGCTTCAAGGTCCTCTGTTGTTAGTATCCGCGTGCGCTCGTCGCCGTCCGCCTCTGCTTGGCTCGCGCCAGGTACGTCAACTGTCTCTTCGTCCACCCATTTTTCCTTCTCTTCCTGCTTGTCTTGCAGGTCAATCTTCTTGGCTTCCTTTGCGAGCTTGTCGTCTTCTTCCTCGAAGTCTTCGCCCTCATCAGTCACAAGCTCGTCAGAGTCGCCGGCATCGTCCGACTCGTCGTCGCTTGCCTCCAACTCAGCACGAGCTTCGTTCATCTCTTTGGCGAGTTCAGCCGAGAAGAACTTGTAGTTGATGCCAGCTTCCGTGAAGTAATCGGCCCAAGCTTTCCGTTGCTCCAATGTCATCATATCTGCCTTGTTGACCAGCAACAGGTTGTTCTTCTTCGGGTCCACCTCTTTGACGTAGTCTTCCAAATCCTCTGATCGGAACATGAGCGGGTTACGGGCGTCCACAATCTGCACGACCAGATCTGACCGCTCAATAACACGCCACAATTGCCTCCAGACTTCGAGATTGCGCTCGAACGGTGTGAGGAGGAGGTCGTTGTTCTCTTGCAGCTCCGCCAAGCCTCTTCGCCACTGTAGCAACGACGCCCTCTCCTTCTCGTCCAACTCTTGTGGTGTAGTGTCTTTGTCCCAGTGGGGTCGCCTCGGTACAGTCAGTCGGTTTCTGTTCTCCTTGTGCTTCTTGGTGACGTTGCGCTCCTCAAGCGGCGAGAGGAGGTATGGGTTCTTCTGGTCCTTGTGGATAATCTTGACGTTGTTCATCTTCTCGGCGGTGAAGTCGGTGCCAGCCAACTCGGCAGTGGAAAGAAAGTCGTCGAGGGCGCCTTGTTCGGTGACGGAGCGCATCTTCATGTACGAAGCCTCCTTCTTCTCGTTGGTGATGTACTCGGGGATGTTAGTATGAGTCGCGTGGTCTACTGGATGCCACACTGAACATTGCGCACTCTTCCTATGTATGCGCAACATCCCGAGTAAAGTAGTTGTAAATATAACACACCTTCTCGCCATTCTGACCGGTTCGCTCGATACCAGCGTTGAAGTTGCCCTTGCGCAGATTGTCGCCCTTTCCCTTGCTGAACCTGTCGTTCATCAGGCTGTTGCCCAGCCCGACGCTCTTCTTGGATTTCGCGAGCACCATGTTTGCGGTTGAAGGTGCTGTATCGTGTGGTTGTGGTGTTTTTGGCCCAAATAGAGGGGTGGGTGGAAAGAGAAAGTTGCGACGGAAGTTGCCCCACCACGTCATTCACCGATTGCCTCGCTAAATTCTTTTTCTGAGAAGACCCTTTTGTAAGCGCGCCTTCCCCAGACTTCCACGACAGCACACTCGCCACTTCCACACGAATAGTCCTCAACTATCACATAAGCCGCCAAGATGCCTCGCCGAAAGTTCATGTGAGTCGAGAAATTCGAAGGCGCATTTGAAGTACCCCGCTAACCCCGCGACAGCGATAAGAAGAACGCGACCAACTTCCGTCTCGTCCACCGCGCCCAAAATGACCCCCGAATTCACGACGAAGATGCCCCGCAGATGGTCTTTGCCGAGAGGGCCGCACCAAACCAACGCGAAACCGACGAACCCGTAGGAAGTTCGCGTGCGTCGCAATACTCAGCCGCGACGGGACGCAGCAAGATCAAGTCGAGACGCGAACTAGAAAGCGAATATGGCGCCCAAGTGCGGAAGAACGAGGGTGAAGCCGCCAACTACGGCATCTACTACGACGACACCGAGTACGACTACATGCAGCACATGCGCGACCTGGGCTCTGGCAGCGGCGACTCATACTTCATCGAGCCCAAGGCGGAGAAGAAGGGAAAGCAAAAGATGGACTTGGCAGACATGCTGCGCGATGCATCGCTGAACGACAGTAGGAGCCAGGCCGATCTCAGCGTGAGCAGCAACATCAGCAGCGCGAGCGAATTATTCGGAGAAGACATGGCGCCCTCAGAGTTCGTCCGCAAGACAACCTACCAAGACCAGCAGAACATCCCCGATGCCCTCAAGGGCTTCCAACCAGACATGGACCCGCGCCTCCGCGAAGTGCTCGAGGCGCTCGAAGACGAAGCCTACGTCGAGGACGACGAGGACATCTTCAACGAACTCGCTCAAGACGGCTTCGAAGTCGATCAACGAGAATGGGACAGCGCCGATCTCTTCGACGACGAGACCGACGACAGAGATCCCATGGACCGATTCCTCTCAGAAGAAGACCCAGGTTGGGAAACCGACGACACAATCAAAGCCTCATCCCCCAAGCTGCGCGCTCAGAAACCTTCCAACAACGACCCCACAGACCCGTCCTCGCTCCCTGCTCCAGACGAAGCGCCAGCGCCCGCAGACGCGGCAGATATGGCGTACCTAGATGAATTCAAGAAGTTCAAACAAGACGTCAAAGCCGCTAAACCCACCCCTGGCAACCCTAGAAACGGCGCCGCTGCCGCTACAGACAATCAATCTTTCATAACAGGCGCCTCGGCCCTAACAGCCGGCGGCCGCCACAAGAAGCGCAAAGGCGCCAAAACATCCACGTCCGGATACTCCATGTCCTCTTCCGCGCTGCACCGAACAGAAGGCCTCACACTGCTCGACCAGCGCTTCGACAAGATCGAAGAGGAATACGCTGATGACGATGGTTTCCCCGAAGATGACTACGGCTACGACGACTCTGCTTCCATGGTCAGCGGTATGTCAAAGATGAGCGGCATGAGCAAGAAGAGTGGTATGAGTGGATGGTCGAGTAGTGAGGCGCCGCCGCTACGAGGAGACTTTGACAGTATCATGGATGACTTTCTGGGGAGTCATCATACTGCCGGCAAGAGCGGGAGGAGGGTTAAGAAGGGGAAGCAGCAGAGTGGCATGGAGCAGTTGGATGAGGTGAGGAAGGGGTTGGGTGCGCCGAAGGTTAAGCCGCAGGATAGGTTTAGTGTGTTGAAGGTCTAGGGATCAGAGGCTTTCTTTTCACTTCGCGTTATGATATAGATGACTTCATGCATTTGCTGGCGTTTTGGGAGGGTGGGTAAAAGGGATCTGGGTCATAGGTTGGGACATGTTATACCCGTATTGCAAGTATACAGTGGAATGAAGAGATGAACGGAAAATACATTGCCAAATGCTTAGCCTAGGTTCTTGAGGATGTAGACAGACAGTCAATGCCGACGATCTATATCCTTAAGGACCTAGACTAAGACTTTGGCAATATACCCTTCAGCGTTCTCATTCATTCGTTGATCTCATACACATCGTGACGCCTCTTATTCGTGCCTTTTTCATACAATACCACGTCCAGATACTGATGTGAAATTCTCCATCCTTCGCTTCACTACCATACAACACGCCGTCTCACCCAAGCAAATCCTAAGCCTTAGGCTCAACACTGCTCTGCGCAACACCCTCCTGAAGCGCCTTCTTGCTAACAAGCCTGAATCCACCAACCAGCATAAGCGCCGCCAGCGAACCCAGAACAACAGCCAGTGTGACAAAAGCACCGATGACACCACCAACCGCAGGCGAGATATCACTGCTACCGTTTCCACTTTGCTGGGCAGTAGTAGCGCCATTGTCCTTGACAAACGCAGCGCAAGAACCAGCAGTGTTACCGCACTTCGTGCACCACTGCTGGGTGGTCGTAATAGCAAACTCATTCAGCTTGTCCTGGAAGGTAGTCCACGACACCGCGTTCTCGCTACCGCCAAAGAGAGGGAAGACAGCGGGTTCACTCGTGTTGCTCGCCGTGCCGTTGTGGAACAGGAAGCGGACCTGGAGGTCATCTCCGTTGGGGAAGCCAGAGTCAACATCCGCGTTGGTGAAGAGCTCGAAGACCATGGAGCTAGCATAGTCGACAACGCCGGTGAAGTCGTCGCTGACCTTTTGCAAGTCGGCGAGACCGAAGAAGGACATGAAGGTCGCGTAGGCGCCGAATTGGATGCCGAACTTTTTGGACCCGGAGGTGCTGATGATGTTGTTCATGTATTCGAGGATTTCTCCCGCGAGTTGCATGCCAGCGACTGCGCGCATGTTGTCGCTGGCGTTGTAGGCGAGACCCCACTCGTGGGCGTCGGCGAGAGTGCGGAGCTGGGTGAGGGTGGTGTTGGTCAGGGCGTCGGAGTTGGGGATGCTGGAGTTGTGGATCTCGGCTACGTGGATGGTGTCGTAGACTGTTCATGTTAGATTGGCTTATAAATGAGGATTGGGATGAGACATACCGACGTAGGCGTTTTTGAAAGAAACCTGCTCATCGCTAACCACGCCGTTCATCGAAGGAACGATGGAGGAGTAGAAATCCTTGGAGCTGGACGCAAGGTTCTTGTATGACTCGCTCTCAAAGTAGGAGTTTGAGCTGGTCTTTGCGTTCTGGCAGCTCGACGCATCCTGCAGCCAGCCACTGTCCTCAGAGCCGGAGCCGGTCTCGATGGTGTTGACTGGGATGAGCTGGTAGCCATCCATTGGCGCTTGTACGCTCTGGCCATTGGCAAGAGTCTGAACCGTCTGAACAGGGGGGTAAAGTCCTTGGAGGAAACCCATGGCTGAGTTCTGGAGGACGTTGTCGACAGGTGCTTGGACCTGAAGCTGGGACAGCTTGACTTCATCCTCGTTGATACCGTGGATCTTGGAGTCGCCAGACAGGTAACGTGAGCGGTAGTACTGGCCGGATGTGTAGACCTGTTCGTAACCAAGAGCAGTCAAGTTGGTAGGAGCAAGAGCCTTTGGTGTACGGTCGCCATGGCGGTGGAAGATGTAAGCTCCAAGAACGGTCTCAGCTGCCTCGGCACCAGCGAGCATGGAGAGAGCGGAAAGCGCGACAACGGACTTCATGATGGGCAATTGAACGCTTGTCAACGAAGGAAGCTGTTCACGGAAGCGAGTGAAGCAATTGAACCCAGGGCAAAGCGGCGAATCTCACAAGCAGAGGTGGGATGGGGAAAGAGTAGAGGCGGACGTCAGGAAGGACTTATACCAGCTATCTCGCTGCATGCCCCGCTGAGTAAGTAAACCAAGCTCGGGATTAAGCTACAGGAGCTAGATAGCAGGAGCCATCCGCCCAATCCGACGAGTAAACAGCTCATGATGTAGCGGGGCGCTTGCCTGACAAGCATGGTTCTTTCCGAATCTCGCAGTTCGGGAGGGGCAGGTGTAAGTGGGGGTTAGAGCGACCCACTGCCCGCGACAAGCTTTTTCCGCGCACAAGGTATCTTTGGCCGAGAATGACAGTCGCGCTGAATAAGTAGTAGTCAGAATGACGATATCATTCATCTGTCGCGGCCATAGAGTATCTCGCAGACGCCGCCAATTGGCACATCCATCACGGCATCTGTTCCCGTGCTCCAGAAGCCTTTCCAGTCCACCTCATCTTGTGCGCTAAATTGATATGCCGAGAAAGAGCTTCGTCGGCTGGGAGGTGCACTGGCTCTAGTGCCCTTTTCCTTGTCCTTGTCGTGTAGCTTGTCTGTGACTAGCACCGGGTCGCGTACTATCTGCCCAGTCATGCGATCGACAACGGCTATCTGTGCGCATTCGTCGACGAGGTTCTCGCAGCTGCTCAGCGGTAGTGTGAGGTAGCGCGTGTTGTAGCTTGCCAGGGCAACGTAGATGTAGATGACTAGAACTACCAGCCAACATGGCACTGCGAGCGCCCACCACCGATTCGGGTAGTAGTGGATGCCCATCTGATGCAGCATCGGAGCTGGCACATAAGCCCAGAGGATGTACATGAGGAAGGCGGCAGAGCTGCCTAGGTACAGTGCAAAGCCATAGTACTCGTATGTAGGCACTTTCGGCGAGGCCCGGGGTACCGTCGGCGCATGCCGTGCCGAGCTCGCGAGATTCGTAGGTGTGCTTGTACCTGTGGTATGCGAGCCAGCTCTAGTATATCCTTCCACATCCGACGAGTCTGGTGTCGTAGGCCTCGAGGTTGGACGGCTGAACGCGGGGCGAAGTAGCGAGGTCAATGATGGAGATGGCGGTAGCGGAGTCGGGGGCCTGTTGTAGAAGGGCGGGAAGAGGGCTGTCGCAGTATGTCGCGGGAGGTGACTGTACGACTTAGAGGTCTGTAATGGTCGAGACGTAGGCGCTGGCTCCTCTTCGTCCTCTTCATCTTCGCTGACTACGTCCTCCACCATGAACGGGTCCTCGTCTTCATCTTGGTTATCTTCTACAGAAGCCGCCTCGGAGAGAGCACTATTCGATATTGGCGATAGAGGAGTTGCTCCTGGACGAGTCGCCGAGCGTGGAGGGGATGCTATTGTGCTGTCCTCGCGACTTTGGCCATCGAATGACCCCAAAGTGGGCAAATTAGGCGTAGATTTGGAGTAAAACCCCGAAGGAAGGGACTCCCCTCTACTGTGGGGTGGCATGTCGTTGGGGTGTGGTCTGGCGCGAAGTGAACCTCATGCGTTGATCGCGTGCTTGAGCCTCTCAATTACGCGTTCGCGCTAGCGGAATAGTTCCGCTGCTATTGTCACGTCCTTGGAACGTTGCGAAGCACATTGTAAGTATCACCAGCTACTACGACGGTTCTTTTCGCAAAGAATCGGTGATCATGTCGTAGATAACAGTGTCTTTTCTCATCCAAACTCACTATTACAGCAAGTGGGACTTCGACCGAGAGAGTGGGCTAATCGTACCGGCTCCCTAGCATTACACCTGCGCACGAAAGCAAACAGAGAACATAATCGTGAAAAGAGATGAGACAATGTCTCAACACGCCGCTATCAGGCGAAGAAGTCCTCGAAAGTGTCTCCTGCCCACCCGCTTAGATCCATATCGATGGAGTTTGTTTCGCGGTTTGCCGTCACTTCATTGAGCAGGTCTTGCGTCGCTTTCGCTTTGCTGAACAGGTCGTGCGCTAACTCCTTCGCAGCATACTGCAAATTGTCTTCAGCGAATTGAACCGCACGTTGGTACTGCGCGTTGTTGTTTGCAAGAAGATCTGCACCACAATGCACCAGGAACAGCATCATTTCAATTCTTCCTTGTTCCGTAGCGCCTTCGAATGCGGTTTTGCCATCGAACAAAGCTGGCTCAGCGTTGATATCGGCGCCTTTCTCAAGCAGAACCGTTGCGATCCCAATGTTTCCTGTCATTGCAGCTGACTGGAGTGCTGTCGCACCCGCACGAGTTGCTGCAGGCTCGTTTGGATCCGCACCGCGCATCAGTAGATACTTCACAATCTCTATGCTCTCGACTTGTGCTGCTGCCTGCAATGGTGTTTGAGGGATGCTCCATGACGTGGGTAGCGAAATGTTAGCGCCCGCTTTATGCAGACGCTGGACTGTTCTTAGCGATCCCAGAGAGATTGCGTAGAGTAGAGCCGTCATGTTACCGCGGCTGTGATCTCTGTGGATAACACTGTTCAAGTCACGCGCTAGAGGCAGGAAGAGCTCAAGTAATACATCGTGTCCATCTTGTCGTGCAGAGGACATGCGTATTGCTTCGCCAAGTGGACTCGTAAACTCAGTACGGGACTGGGGAACTGAACAAGTATACCGATCAGGTCTACGATCATTCGCGACACGCCCAGTCATATCGGCAGCTACGCAAAGAAGCCGGATAAACTTCTTGTCCGCGCGTCTCATCGCTTGGTATAATGCGTCGGATCCGAAAGACTGTGCGCCATCCGGATAGCGAGTTCTGAAGGCTGAGAGTAATAACTCCATAACGTCTTTCAGGCGGAGTATAGCACATACGAAGAGTGCGCTATTGTCAAAGGGATCCGCTCCTATGCGCAAGTATTCTTTGATTAGGGAAAGGTCCTTTCTGACCACTGCAGCAGCAAGCGGTGTCAGAGACCACCCCTCCCTATCCGTCTGACACGGCGTGGTTCTCGGTTGGTGAGCGTTGAATTGATGGGCTGTGAACCGCGAATTGAACATATGGGGCAACACAACTTGCGCACCGTGAGCCATCAAAGCTTTGATCGCTGTGGGATTCGCCTTCAGGATCGCGGCGCTCAAAGGTGTCAGATTCCAATCTGCCGGTGCAGTTCCAGGTGGCTGTAACTCTGGGCCCAAATCCCAGTCGTGGGATTCACAATGTGCTACATTGACAAGCACGTTGACAGGGTGTTCCATTCGAAGCACGTACCCGATGGCTGCTTGGTTACCCCATCGTAGGGCCTCAAATATTATGGCATTACCATAGTGTTGCTCATCTGCAGCTGGCATAAAATGGTCGTAATACCATGCATCTGCCTGTAACGTGGCAGGTAGATCGATGCATTCGGCCAGAAGTTTGACGGTGTCCAGCTGCTTGTTCCGAACCGCCAGTTCAAGACATCGGACAGTCGGGCTGATGCCTACAGACAGCAGTCGCTTAAGAACGCGGTTGTTTCCTCTTTCAATAGCAGCTTCAAGAGCCCTTCCGATTCCTGCTTGCCTCCGTTGGAGCTTTTGAAGTGATAAAATCTGCTCAACAAGAACATCATCACCAACTTCACAAGCTGCGACGAACGCAGCGGCAAAACCGGCAGGTTGACGAGCTAGGTTCTGGAAGTATCCCCGTGTCTTGAATAGATCAAAAGCTTCCCCAGAGCTATTTTTGATTGACTCGCTCAGCCCAGTACAATCACCATCAGAGGCATCTCCATCTATTGGCTTTGGTGCCTGGGCGTTGGGGTCCAGACCTTGATCCAGACATTTGTTCAGGATCTCTAGATCATTACCCCGGACAGCACTGATCAAGACTTTAACATCGAGTTTTGCACCCTCAGCGAGCAGAATACTGACTGCCGACGTGTTGCTTCGTAGCACTGCACTAGACAGTGACTCTGATAATATTGCATCCCAAAGATCTTGATGGCCGATGATGTCTGGGGATGCCCGTTCGAGGATAGACTTGATTACCCCGGAGAATGAATCATCCCAGTCGGGTCGCAATAGGACTTCCGGTAGAACGCGCCGATGGAAGAATACCTCGGGGCTCTTGTCCAAGTAAAATGTTGTCAACAGGAGCAATTCGCTCTTATCACAACAACTCATCTCGTTCATGACTGATTCGGGATCGGCTTCTAGGTCTGCTGAAATCAACAGACGCATGATTTCGCCTCTTGCTTTCGGATTCCGCTTCTGGGTATGTGGCAACCTTCCTATGTTTAACAGGAAATCTGGTCCCGTTCGTTGATTAGGGTTAGCGCCATGATCAAGAAGGACTTTTGTAGCTTGAACGTCGCCCCTGAGACTCGTGTACTCCAAGGGGTAGTATAGGGAGTCTCTCATAGAGACAGGTCGATTCGCAAGTCCAGTTGGCCCCATATCCAAGACTATCCCCAATATGAATCCGTCTCCCAGAATCAGCGCGATGCAGAAGATATTTTGTATCAACGCTAGATTGTAGGGTGGCGGAGTGGAATTGATGATATCCTTGAGGATATTAGGTCCAACACTGAATAAACACTTGATGCCTGTCCTGAGAAAGAAGTCGAAGTTTGTTTGCGGCTCGTCGACTGCCCGGGTAACCGTTCCGTCATTGGCGAGCTGATGTAAGACCACATAAATAATCTGGTTGGCCACGCTTTGTTCGCGAACAAGTCGCGATACGTCTGGATGGGTCACATTCCTCACTGCGAGCTCGACTTCTCTAATTTGTCCTGCCGACGCTACGAAGGTCCGAATGTCTTTCGGCAAAATGCGCGCCATGACCGGCACCATCGAAGTCGCGAAGTTGGGCGTGGGAGTTCCATGGAATAGAGACGTCGCACCTGATGACACGTGTGTCATGTAGTTGTCAAAGTTTTGATCGCGATAACCATAGTCTTTAGGGAAAATCATGGCATCCGTTTCACACGGAGGAAACTCGAGATAATTAGAAGTAGGAAGCCACTCCAAGTCATCGTTCAGTGTTTTCGGGTCAGTCTCATCGTTGACGAACGTGTGCCATGTTGGATTATTCTCGAGTGGATCCCTCGCATCCAGATCTGCGCATGAGGTCCACGTTCCATCCTGAGCAACGAATGGATCAACTTCGCGAGGAGCCATTGGAAACTGCGCCACGACACCAGCTACAGGAAATGGTGAGGCGCCCTGCGATGTGTCGGCTGACGTCGAAGGTGATATTCCAGGCGGTGTGAGACTCGGCGGAGTAGACTGTAGTGGAGAGCGACGTGTAGAGTGGATTCTGGTCGCGGTACTTTGTGAATGAAGAGAGACTATCAACAGAGATCAATATCTTCGCCGAGCAAGCTAGCTCAGTGCTCGTACCTTCAGCGAGTCCTTCGTCATCGGGGGTCCTCTGACGTCCTTCTATCCTTGCCCTACGGTTCTTGAGCACTGATGCTCCAGCACGTCGACTATACGCAGATGTATATTTGTAAAAGTCCCATTTCCTCAGCCTAGTTTCGTATTGAGCTTTGCTATCCGCTGATTAGCACAAACTGCTCGATCTGAACGACGGTAGAGTGACGTATCGTGCACCTACGTTGCCGAGAAAGCGTGCTCTGTGGACATGATTTCCACAACTCCACCCGGGGCTGTCAAGGGTCTGTTTTCCAGGACGTAAAGACGGTAGATGGTGTGTTTGTGTAACTTCCATTTCCACTCGGGTATGCGTCTCGCATATCTTTCCTCATACATTGTTGTGTCGGACGGATTGTGTCCCAGCCCACGAGAGACCTGGAGGGGGTGGTGGTGTTGGTCAAACAACAAACACGAGGCCAGGCTGGAGCGGGGCCTCTACACTCCTTGAAAATAGAGATGATCCACGGGAAAAGCGCCTGCCCAGAATCTGATTTCAGCCACACGGCGCATGCAGGTCGGACCAATGGGAGTTGCAGTGCTTACTGCAGCAACAACAAGGACGCCGAAATCTGCTTTTGCATTTTAACGTGACGACTAATTCGACGTAATCATCATGACTGCGCCTGCTCAATTCAGATTTCGGCACGCTCAGCCCCATCCAATCCAGATTTCGGTACGTTCAGCCCCATCCAATCCAGATTTCAACCTAGCCAGCCTTGCCCGACCAGAACACCGTGCCCAAATCTGAATCTCTTAGCAGATTCCATCAAATCTGAATTGCAAACCTGCGGCAGAAATCTGCTTTGGTAGTAGATATGTTCATCGTGCAAGAACTAGGAGTAGCGTTCCATAGAGCAGCAACCCGAGCGTCGTGCCTTCCTTGACGAGCTTCGAAATCCGCATTTGCTACAATGACTTGGTCGAAAGATAACACCATCTCCCTCCTTGCTCTTCTCGCAACCTGCGTACCGGTGTTTGTATTGGTCGTTACATGTATACTACGCCAGAGACGACAGCGTGCCAAAAAGCAGGGTGAGTACTTGTTCAGGGAGATTGCGATGGCAGTGATGCTGAACAAAGACAGCTCGTTCAGACGTGGAGGACGCACCTACCCGCCCCGGCCCGCAGCCTTCGCACTTTGGAATGCTTCGAAGGGACTCCATGCTGATGGCGCTGGTCATCGTTCAGAGGGATGTGCATGTTGCGCATCGCGGGTCTTAAGAGAGAACTGGTCTTAAGAGAGAACGGGTCTTAAGAGAGAACGGGTGTGTATGTCAACGGTAGAACAATCCAGATGGTTGACTGACCTCTAATAAGTTTCATTGCAAGCTGCCAGTATCATAATGACTTAAACATCAATCTACAGCTTACTAGCCTCCCCACTCGTCCTGTTAAGGTACAAAGGATCCCTCGGCTCAATCCCATACTGCCTACACAGCTCCTCACCCTTCTTCTGCTGCGCCTCAATCCTAGCCTTATGCGCCAGACCCCTCTTATTCTCGTTCTTACCCAGCTGCAGCAGATGCACCTCGTCCGGCCCATCTACAATCCTCATGGTACGGCCACTCGACCACATCTGCGCAAGCGGAGTATCTTGACTCACACCCGCACCACCGTAGGCCTGCATGGCCCAGTCGATAACCTTGAGGTTGACTTCAGGGACGAGCACCTTGACCTCGGCGATTTCCTTAAGAGCGCCCTTGGCGTTTGTCTCGTCGATCTTGATGGCGGCGTTGAGGACGGAGAGGCGGGCGGCGTCGATTTCGATACGGGAGCGGGCGACGCGCTCGAGCATGATGCCGTGTTTGTTGAGGAGCTCGCCGAATGGCTTCTTGCGCTCGTCGTTGATGCGGGCGAGGAACCATTCCAGTGCTTTCTCGGCAGAGCCGATGCTGCGCATGGCGTGGTGGATACGTCCGGGTCCGAGACGGCCTTGGATGATTTCGAAGCCGCGGCCTTCGCCTAGCACCATGTTGCTGGCGGGGACGCGGACGTTCTCGAAGGTCACGTGGCCGTGGCCGTGGGGTGCGTCGTCGAAACCCATGACTGACAGCATGCGGTGGACGGTTACACCGGGGGTGGTGTTGGGGACGAGGATGACGGATTGTTGCTTGTACTTGTCGGAGTTGTTGGGGTCGGTCTTTCCGAGGACGATGAAGATCTTGCAGCGAGGGTCGCCAATGCCGGATGACCACCATTTCTGAGGGGTGTTAGTAACGTGGTGGGTAAGGGAGGGACGAAAATGAGCTAACCTGGCCGTTCAGGACGTAATGGTCACCATCCTTCTTGATTGTCATCTCAATGTTGGTAGCATCACTCGACGCAACCTGGGGCTCCGTCATCAAGAACGCAGAGCGAATCTCGCCCTTCAGCAGGGGATCCAGCCACTGCCTCTTCTGTGCCTCAGTACCGTACTTGGCAATGACCTCCATGTTGCCAGTATCAGGAGCAGCGCAGTTGACAGCCTCGGAAGCTGTCCGGCTCTTGCCCAGGTACTCAGCCATGAGGCCGTACTCCAGGTTGCTGAAGCCAGCGCCCTCCTTGAAGTGTGCCTTGGGCAGGAACATGTTCCATAGTCCAAGCTCTTGTGCCCTCTTCTTCAGGTCCTCGATGATGGAGGGATGTGACGAGAAGCGCTCTTGGACGGTCTGGCCAATCTGGCGAACGTATACGGCGTCGGCGGGAATGCACTCTTCTTCGACGAACTTCTCTACCTATGAACATGTTAGCATGTACTTGTCCAGAGCTTGCCAAGTCACCTACAAGGTCGAGTGTCTTCGCCGCCCTCTCGCTGACAAAAGGCCGCGCGATGACGGGAATGCGCTGAGAGGCGGAGATATGGCCATCCTTGCTGTTGCTAAGCAGATCGTAGGCGCGGTCGTACGGTACAGACATGATTGCGTACTGTGGAGAGAGGATGAGGTAGGGAAGGACGGTTTAGGGAGGAAATCCGGGGTAGTTTAACAAAAGATGCGGAGACGAGTCGTCCGTGGCTACTGCTTCGGTCATTGATGTTGGGAGCTAAGAGTTGCCGAGGTACGGGATGCACCACCTCCGCTTTGGACCTCGTAACTTGGCTGTCTCACACCACGCAGACGTGATGCCAAGGTGTCCGATGGCAAACGTATCTTAGAGAAGGGTATCGTTGGCCGAGGCATTGATGATAGTCGTGTCGTGGTAGAGGCTGCGGTTGGAGTTGGCGATAGCTGCAATGGACGCGACGCCACCGTTACGCGTGGCGCACAGTCCAACCTCCGCAAAAGGCTATGGAATCGCGTGTGTACATCAACGTGGTTATCAGAATTCACATGGGCCATCTCAGCACTCATACAATTGTCGATAGAAAACTTGTTGAATCTAGTCAGAGAGGTCATTGACTCCATGATCATAACACATGTATGCATCCACTAGTTGACACATGGTGTTTCAAGTCCCGGGCTGGGAGACCTGGGACGTAGGGGATATAGGACGCATGCTTGTTTATGAAGAGATGATTGAGGAACGGCAGTTGACGGATATATGGTTTGCACACCCTGATGGTGAGTTGGAGGACTATTGGGAGTTTCATTATAAAGGCCTACTACAGGATATGGAGGGAAGAAGGACTATCAGTGATGAGGTGCTTGAGGGGCATTTGAGAGCCGAGAAGCTGGATCCAGAGATGTTCTGGCTTTCGAAAGCAGACAATGAGTGGTTTCCATACCGGTAGTGAAGGGGTTCCGAGAGTCCTTTGCTGTTCTTCCCACGCTGTCTTATCTATGTCACAATGTACTATGGTCGAGGTTTGAGTGAATGCTGACATTCCCTCGAAAATTCCCAGAAGATCACGACTTGAAGTGTAACCTGACGCGATGATTCTTGACAGTGAGCATTGACTAGTCGTTGGGTCGGAGAGAAACGTGAGCGACTCTATTCTGATTTCACATCGCAGTTTTGAGACGTAGCTGAAGTCAGATATACGTTGTATAAAACTAATAGCAACGTCGTAGTGAGATGTGAAGGGTGCTACCTCGTACAGCTTGTGACGAAGATAGACCTGTAACGGTGACATAAATCGCAATGCTATAACGTTGCTCGATCCTCGTTGCTGGGCTCCAGTTCCGGAAGGGTTGCTTGTCGCAGACCGGATCAAACGGGTATGTTGTAGGAAACGAGTAAAACGTATTGTGTAACTGTTCTCAGTGCCAAGATACCAGACCGTGGGTCAATTGATGCAATAGCAGTGCCAGTAGCCTGGTAAAATATTGTTAAAATTTGGAAGATGAGGGTTACACTTTTGTCGGTGAGCGCGGATGTGTACCCACGGCATGCTTCCTACAACGACCAAAGGGTACCTGAGAAGGTCGTCCCGCCTGCTTGTGGCGTACACAGACACCAGATAGAGCCAATAATAGTCTTGGACGCACAAGTTGACTGACAGAATGGTATCATCCGCCCGGGCAGCTGCGTGTCGCTATTCCGGTGCAGAACCGGATGAATGCATGAGATGTGTGCGCTCAACCGTGACGATGTAACCAAGATGTTGAGCGAGCTGCTACGGATCCGACATGACAGCTGCAGACGAGCGTGGCGAGGTCTCCGGCCGATGTCGGTAGCCGAATACAGCTCGTGGTACAACCATCGTGCATACTCTATTGTCTTCATTTAAAATAGATGCTCATCCTGTACCGCATGGTTGCGCGCTATCAGCGATGAAAATCTCCGAGTATTCAACCATATAGGTGCACCGGCATAGTCCGATCGTCGGGTATGACAAGTCGGCCGGGTACTCCGTAAGGCTGAAGTCCATATGCGTGCTTCACCTGAAGTGGATTGGGGGTACATATCGTGGTCGCGCAGATCGACTCGTATCTGAGTTCGACAGGCTGATAAAGTCCAGATGTCGAGGCCTGCGTATTCTTGTTCGTCGCTTTACATATAGACTCCCGCCACCAGATCTGAGACAGAGCGGGAGGCTTCGTGACACAGTGTCGCTGTGGACCGATGTGGTGCTTCATGGGCTTGATCTACAACGCCTCGGGGCCTGTAATCTATTTTCATGTTAGGAGTGATTCGGGTCGTAGTGAGCTTGAGCAAACGTCAAGTGACGGATTCAAAGAGAGCGTGCTCGCGCCCAGCTTGGGCTGGAAGGAACCTTGGACTGTTGGTGAGTAAAACGGGTGAGGATGGGTAGTAATGACGGCAATAGTGGGGCTCATAACACTGGTTTTGGCCATTCTCACGGTCGAGCGGTCGTCTGCAGCGGCTGGGAATACCGCCGTCAAGAGCCCTTAAGTCACATGACTAAAGCCAATAGGGTGGGTCGGATTTCCGAACGGCATGCTCACTGCATGTTGACGTATGAGCGGCAGTCGGGCATCGATAGTGTAGCTCGACTAGCCTACCCACACAGCAAGCGCCAAATGCAAAATCTGTATGAATTGTTTCAGCCCGATCTATCTCAGTAGGCTGCAGATGGACTTGTACGTGATGTCCATCGTCGTTCGAGGCATGGCTGTTGGCGGCGCCTGGAACATGTTGCGCGCGCGATTTGCACGTGCCTTGCAGCACCAAGTGCGGGAAAGGCGAAGAGGGGAACACAAGCGTCATGAATAGTTTGCAACGATGTCGGTTGCTGCAAGTGTGGCCGATTCGGGTTTAAAGGTGCGCGTGTGTAACCCGCACCGAGCAGTGGTTCACACCGGCCAGTGGGCCCTGGACATCCGAGAGCAGCGGTGTCGTTGACTTGATGCGCATCCGCTTGGTGCAGCTGGCTGCCGGTCAAGATGGAAGCGTGCACAAACGGTGGAGTGGCATTTCACGAGACCAGAAGGGCATAGTGAGTCGCTGGGCTGGGCGGCTGTGAAAGGATATGCACCACAATAACACGCCACGCCTCTGGGTCGCCCGGGCATTCGGCTGTAGACGAAGAGGGGGGCGCCAGGACCAGGGCGCGAGAGAACATCAGCTGCCCTCCAAGTGGAGCTGCAGGCCACGAGGGCGTGGCCGGGGCCTCGAGCAGAATGACGATGCAGCAGGACGAGGCGACAGGGCGGCGTGCAGGGGGACTTGGTTTTGCAGCAGGCCGCAAGGGTGCGGTCAAAGTTTGGAAAAAGCCATATTGTTGAGTCGGATATCAGCTTCTTCAACGCCAGTCGGAAGACTTTTCTGCGGCTACCGACCCCTGTACTCTCGCGAGTGTCCTGGTACATACGTCGTCGACACGAAAGTGCGGCGGCGGCGGCTTTGATTGACGGGCTGTGGTGCAAACAAAGACAAGGTTGTGGTTGCTCGAACAGCGCGGTGCATGAAATTGCTGCCGCGGGCGCTCAGGCGTCCGCAGCATGGAATTGGCTGACGGAGTCGAGCATTCGCACAGTGTTGAGGGACGCTCGCTAAAGGCAGAGGCGTCGTGGGCCCTGGAGCGGAATGAGGGTCTTGCTCAGGCCATGGTAACGGCGGCGATGGCCTGGTAACGTCTCAATGGGAACGGTCGTCGCATGTCAAACGCAGCATAGCAGCTACTCACTGCCTGCTAGAGCCACGCAGCCTATCGCCGGGCAGGTATTCACAGCTCGTACGGCCAGGTTAGTATAAGCACAGCAAGGCCCGGCCATGATTGGAGTGCGTCTCAGCCACGCGCCAGCGAGCAAGTGGGTGCAGCTCATTTCAGGCGGCATGACGGCGTGCTGGGAAGAAATCTGATGCCTCACGTGCAGGCCGGCGTCCGCAGCTGCAGACGCAATGGTCATGTTGAATGTTGGCGATGTCGTATGTGAGGCCGCTGGCGACGGCTGGCAGAGCACACTCACTGTCGTGTGCTGACGTCTGTTTCAAGCAGGCGCGGTCGCATGCTCCTGCCGCCGCAGAGCAGCCCTGTGTATGTGTATTACTATAAGGCTCCACGAGAAGCTATCATCTGCATCCTATCCCATCCCCCCGTTTCCTGCAGGTCCGTGATTCCTGCACCGGGCGATTACTGTACGCTGCTCCCTCGAGCAGCTTAGACGCCGCTGGGCTGGTCTGCGCTGACAAGTAGGTGAATTGCAGGCCTTCTGATCACGTTGGCACCCAATTTCGCACTAGCAGTGCCCCGCCCTTAATCCCCAGCACTGCCGTCACTCAACCCCATCGTCGCCTTTCCTCGCACCTTCACAAGCTCTCCATCTCCGCCTTCAATTCTCCTTCACCCCCTTCCCACCACCTGCTGTGACTGCCGCCCGAGCATCGTTGCTGAGGGGTCGACCTGCGCCTTCCTTGTTCCTTAGCTCCGTCAGCCACAACAAGCGTCACCTGGTACTGCACAGACGGCACGCGGGACCACGCCCTCTTGACACTCGACCTCGCGCCTACAACCCTATCTGCTCCGCCTCAGCCCGCCCGACACCACTCCTCGCCCACACTCAACTCCCCTACCACCCGCCCTCCAGTTCCCCAGCAATCCGCGCAGCGCTGCCGGACCCCCTCCCACACGCATAACACCAAACAATGAGCCAGAACCGGCCATCGGCCTTCTCATCGCTAAGAATGGGTGGTAAGTGCCCCCCGTCAATCCGCCGCGTAATTGGCCTCATGCTCACCCTCCCGCAGAAGTTATCCGCGAAAAGGTCCAGGACGGCCTGACCGGCGACTACAAGGACCTCGCATACACGCAGTGCAAGATTGTCGGCAACGGCTCTTTCGGCGTCGTCTTCCAGACCAAGCTGTCGCCTAGTGGTGAAGATGCGGCCATCAAGCGTGTCCTGCAAGACAAGCGCTTCAAGGTGCGTCTGCGCGCCATCATGACATGCCGCCCCAGCTGACCCCCGCAGAACCGCGAACTCCAGATTATGCGCATTGTCCGACATCCCAACATTGTCGAGCTCAAGGCCTTCTTCTACAACAACGGCGAGCGGGTACGTGTCTGCAAGCAAGCGCGTGCGTGCATTTCGTGTAGCTAACCGTTTCAGCCACAGAAAGACGAGGTGTACCTGAATCTCGTGCTTGAGTTCGTTCCCGAGACCGTGTACCGTGCTTCGCGCTACTTCAACAAGATGAAGTCGGTTATGCCCATCCTCGAAGTCAAGCTGTACATCTACCAGCTCTTCCGCTCGCTCGCCTACATTCACTCGCAGGGTATCTGCCACAGGGACATCAAGCCCCAGAACCTTCTGCTAGACCCCTCAACCGGTGTCCTGAAGCTGTGCGATTTCGGAAGCGCCAAGATTTTGGTCGAGAACGAGCCCAACGTTTCGTACATCTGCTCCAGGTACTACCGTGCGCCTGAGCTAATTTTCGGAGCGACAAACTACACTACCAAGATCGGTATGTGTTGTGCTGTAACGAGCGGGAGCCCGTGCTAATACTGTACAGATGTCTGGTCTACGGGTTGCGTCATGGCGGAGCTCATGCTTGGACAGCCATTGTTCCCGGGAGAGTCAGGTATTGACCAGCTGGTGGAGATCATCAAGGTTCTAGGAACGCCCACCCGCGACCAGATCCGCACCATGAACCCGAACTACATGGAGCACAAGTTCCCCCAGATTAAGCCTCACCCGTTCAGTAAGGTATGTTGAGCGATGCGTCTCCGGAAGTCGCGTGATCTTTACTTACATGGACTAGGTGTTCCGGAAGGCCGATCCCAACGCGATCGATTTGATCTCCAAACTCCTCGAGTACACGCCAACTCAGCGTCTTTCGGCCATCGACGCCATGGTACACCCCTTCTTTGACGAGCTGAGGGACCCAAACACGCGTCTCCCAGACTCGCGTCACCCCAACGGAGCCACTCGTGATATGCCTGAGCTGTACAACTTCACTCACCACGGTAAGTTTGTTCCGAGTCCTACGAGATGCAAAGTCTAATGTTTCCAGAATTGTCCATCGCTCCTCACCTCAACAATCAGCTGGTACCGCAGCACATCCGCGCGACACTAGCCGCCCGTGGCCTCGACTTCGAATCGCCGAACTTCAAGCCATTAACGCGGGATCAGATGATAGCCAGGCTGGATTAAGCCCTCTGCTATCACACGACACGATACCATTCATTCATGCGGCGGCTTCTGATCCTCTCTGGACCGGAGCACAAAGCTTTTCCGTCCGGAGAGATGCAAAATGGAGTCTCAATTGGGCGTCGGTTTTATCAGGTGTATACTACGAGGAGCACACCCTTTCCTGCTTTATATGAGCGCGTCTGAAATGATACCGACATTCACCTTTACAAAGAATGACCTGGCTTGCTTTTCTTTGGGGACTGTTGGCATCCCCGTTTACGCGAAATGATCAATGGACCGGCACGGCAAATGATGTTCCTTCGACCCCCTTTGAGATGACGAATGGGTGCAGCAGGTTGCAACTATGAAGGAAATGAGGAACGGGCAAAATTCGGGATGTATTGAGTATGGGATACGAAGGAAGGGTCTCGCTCATCCGATTCCGATGCTTCAACAATGGTTACTATGCGTCACCTGGGTTGCATGCGGGAGTTTTCTTTCTGTTAAGATGAGTTCGGCGGGCTGCGCATCGGGCGATGAGGCTTTTATGAACTTGGGAATGCTATCCCTAGGATGGGATCATACGGGCTGGTCAATGGATGGCTGGCTTCGGACAAGTACTAGAGCGAGGCACTGCGCATTTGCAGCGGAACGAATGTCCAATGGACAATGACTATCCTGCTATTCGCCCACCTCTCAGCATACTTTCTATAACGGAGATTCCTTTCACATTTACCTTTCCGAACTGTTGTGAAATGTTGTGATTAATTCTGTGATGTTGCATTTTTTGCAACTAGAGCAACATTCAGTCTTTTATCCATGCTTTATGGGATTCGTCTGAGACGTCAAGATGGTGGTCTGGATCCGTACATGTTACCTCTGGCCTTCACCAGGAGATAAGCATAGGGTCAATCAATTATACGTTGTCTATCTTTACTGACAGCCTCACCTCGCTAGTCTCAGTATGCGTGATCCTGATGTATATAGAGCCTTCATCTTGACTTCTACATCTATTCCTTTAACATAACCAAGTCTCAGTCGAAGAATTAGTCAGTAGCCATTGAATAGTCGACAACATCACGGTAAAATCAACAGATGAACAACCTAGACATGGATTCTACATTCATGTCACCAGATCGCATGGCCCTGCTCAAGCTGACCGATGAGGAAGCGCAGCAACATCTTGTTCGGGACAATTCACCGTTCAATGATTCGGCAATGGACGTTGACGTCGAGAGTGCATGGACCGAGCGCCAAGATACGCCTGGAACGGGAGCAAATGCCGCTAACCCTTTCGATGCGCAAGCTCCAGTGCGACTTCCGCGCCAACTCGACGATTCACTATCGCGAACCATCCGCCAACATCGCACCCGAACCGCCCCATTCCACAACCGTGTGTATAATCATCGACACGGCGACTTCTACCCCCCGCGTGAGCCCGTATATTACGATCACGACGACCTCGGCGCCAAATCTACACGAATCCCGTCGCAACTGAGGGAAGATTCTCCGGAGACGTTAGAAGAGAAGGCACGCGCAGTCTTGGTCGCAACCATGGCGGATGCAGACGTCAGAGAAGAGCGTGATGATAGGCGCGAGGACCGACGTGATGACAGGCGCGATCGTGGAAACTATCGAGGAAACAACAAGCGCCGCCGTGATGGTGAGTCTGCACATGTCCTGTTACAAGCGATTGCGCAAGCTGCACGGGTGGGCTGGATGGCTTCTCTGATTCGATGGCTGTAATGGGCATCAAATCAAGGCCGAGACTATCCTCCCTACCCCATGGACTGGCTTGTGTATCTGGCATTTCCACTGTACTAACAGCGTCGCGCAGATGACGATAACCATTACCGCGGTGATGACCGTCGCGGACCCCAGCGCCGCCGTAACGATGATGGAGGCCCACGTCGCCGATACGAAGAGCCGCCGTTCCCCAAGCTGCGCAGACTGCTCTTGAACATTGCCAGCTCCACCAAGCTCCCACAGGACGAGGCTATCGAGATCGCAAAGTACTTTGGAGAGCACTTTGACGATGAGCGTCTCCGCTCTGACTTCTTCGATGTCTTGGTACAGCTGTAAGCAGAGACAATTCCCCCATCAATTCAACTTTCACTAACTGTCTTAGGATCATCGAGCAACCCTTCAAGATCCCGTTCGTCGCAGCCGTCGCTTACTACGCCAACGATGTCAAGCCACAAATCACCATCGAGGCCATGAAGCGCGTCGGAGACCGGGCACAGGAGGCGCTGAATGCGGGCGAGTGGAAAGAGTTCAAGTTGCTTCTGAGGTTCTTCGCGTGCCTGCAGTCGCTCTATGAGGATGATGGCGTCTTCACCTTCCTTGGACAACTCTTCGATACGGTCGTTGACCTTCAGAGTGCCAACGAAAACGATGTAAGATCTTCGGGCAGTGATGTGGGATATTTACTAACAGTGCTAGGTTGTCGGTATCGAACTCGTCAAGATCATCCTTCTTACCATTCCCTACGCCATCGTCGCTGGAGGAGAGCGTTTCCACGAACAAGCGCAACAACTGCTGAAGAACACTGGTATCGTGGCGAGCAATGCGGTTCCCATCGAGAGCCTCATCCACTCTTACGTCGGCGATTTCGAGTCAAAGCCGGTAGACCACCACAGCGTCATTGGCCTTCTTCAAGCACAGTTGTCAGCTGAAGCCGAGTCTGGTTTTGAGCTGAGATGCCTTCCACGCATCGACCTCGAGGCTTTGCGTAGGGCGGATGCCAAGGAAGAAGACGCCCTGCCCACGGCTCCTCAGACTCATGCCTTCCCGACTTTCACCATCCCGTCACCAGTCAACCCTGGCCCACGGCCTGTCTTCCCGGAGGCGTACTTCTCCCTGTTCGCTGATCAGGAAGTCGACACCGTCCCCAAGACCACCGACATTGCCTCGTCGCTTGTTCGGGATGCCATTGTCGACACCATCAACCAGCTCGACTTCAACCGTGAAATGGTCGCCAAGTTCCTTGTCGATGTTGACTGCTACTGGTCCGTCGACATCTTCGCTAAGCGCGGTTCACCTTTCGACAAGTTCCGTGAGCTGGTTGGCGACAAGATTCAGTACAAGTCAGAAGATATGATCATCGATGCCATCTTCTCGCAACTGTTCAAGCTGCCTAGCGCCGAACACAAGCTCGTTTACTACCATGCGCTCATTACACAATGCTGCAAGGTCGCACCTGCTGCTATTGCCCCGTCTCTTGGACGTGCCATTCGTACCATTTACAAGAACCTGCCCATGATGGATCTTGAGCTAGGTTACAGATTCCTTGACTGGTTCTCCCACCATCTCAGCAACTTCGAGTTCCGATGGAGGTGGACCGAGTGGTATGTTCTTCTCTCTTTGCTTGTGGATCCGCGCTAACATTTCTTTAGGCTCGAGGATCTCGAGCTGTCTAACCTACACCCGAAGAAGGCTTTCATTCTTGCGACTTTGGACAAGGAGATAAGGTTGTCCTTTGCCAAGCGTATCCGATCAACGCTGCCGGAGCCGATGCACACCATGATCCCTGAGCGACTTGACGCGGACAACAGCCCTGACTTCAAATATGACAATCAACGTACGTAACTGCAACATGCAATAAGGACCCTGCTAACACCACCTCAGAAACCCCATATGCCGCTGAAGGCCAGATGCTCCTCAGCCAACTGAGGAAGAAAGCTACCGCTGAAGAGATCCAAGTCACTATCGACAGTATTCACGAGAAGGCTCTCGAACAGGGCATTACCGAAGTCCTCGTGCCTTCGACTGACGCCTTCGTCACTGCCATCTGCCGACTGGGAGCGAAATCATTGTCCCACGTTCTGTCTTGCATTGAACGCGGCAAGGACAGGCTACTGGAGCTCTCGCAGAACGAGGTCGCACGTCGCCAGATCGTTGCAAGCGTCGTCGAGTACTGGAAAGACCAGCCTGGTGTTGCGGTCCGCATCATCGATATTCTGCTCAACTATACTATTCTTGCGCCGATGACTGTCGTTCAGTGGGTATTCGGTAGCCACATGGGAGCTGGCGAAGCCCTGACCGAGAGCTGGGTCTTTGAGATGGTTAGCAACACAGTCGCCAAGGTCACCAACCGTAACCGTCAGATCGCGTCAGCCCGTCTTCAGAAGGGCCTTCCCCAAGAGCAGATTGAGATGGTTGAGGCCACTCTTGCCAAGGACCGCGACAACGCCCGCGAGTTGTTCAAGTACATCGAAGACTCCATGCGTGGTGTTGCAGAGGGTTCCGCTGACACTCTGATTGAGAAGTCCTCCAATGGCTCGCTCACCGAAGAGGAAGTCGAGCTCATCAAGGCCTGGGGCAAGCGCTGGCAGACTGTCTTCATCCGCAAGGCGCAGGTCGAAGAGTCAGTCGTCGGCGAAGAGGCAGTCGAAGCTCGCATCAGACTTCTTGCCGCTGAGCCTGACGAGGTCGCTGAGAGCATGGAGCAGGATGCCGATGGCGTTGCCGAGGCCACCAACGGAGAGGCGCAGATGTCTCTTGCTTGAAACATTCCAGACTGAAGGACACGATATCGGATTCTACAAAAGCATAAGGATAGCGTTTGCATTCATCGGTGGCGTATCAGGCCAAGTGCTAATGGGTATCAATTTGCACGTCGGCTGGCGAGATGATATCTGCACGAGGGTTCTTTATTCCAGATGGACATCTAGTTCGTGTGATATTGTACATTATATCTCAAAATGAGTATCTTCATGAAAATTCCATGAAACTTTTGTGCTGCGGTTTCGAAATCGTTCTATGACGAGTGTTGGTGATTACAGTTTGACCAGTGTAGGGAGCAGAGGCGCTTTTTGCTTATCGCGCTGCAGAACCGCGAGAAGAAGTGTTGTCGCATGTTCGCCTCGTGGTGTAAGGGGTAAGAGAATTGCAGCTAATAGGAGCGTTCAAACAAGAACACCTCTACTTCTCAAGTATGTTGATGAGATTCATCCCCATGATATTCGTGCGTCGTCCGGAGTCGACGGATCCACCATGCACGGTGACGGCTAGCGCAGGCCAGCATCAGTGAACCCTGCAAAATGTCGCGCGGCATACGGCACCAGCTCCAAGCCGACCACCCAAGCAAGCAAGCCCGCCCAACTTTGCAGCCACGGGCCGCGACTCTGTAGCACCGCCGAAACTTCTGGGCAAAAACAACATGTTGTCACCGCCCTGTATCCTTGGTCGCATATAATTATTGTCGTCTCCATTTCTTGTGTACCTTCGTTGTACTGCCTTTGTTGTACATAGCTTCTTTGTCGCAATCTACGATACGAAACGAATAGAACCGAGGGAACGGAGAAGAAGCACCACCGCGAGCTTCCACGAGGACGAACGGCGATACGTGACGACGCGCGGACGAAGCTCCTGCTTAGACGACGAGCTCCCCCGAGAATTCCTATCCCACGGCGATAACGACGATGCATATACCACCCAGCCACCCCGTCGCTGCAGGCCCAGCGACAGCACTACAGAGCTTAATACCAACAACCACACCCACACCCTACGCTGCGCTATCATGGATATCGAAAGACGCCCACGGAGGCGGAGGAGGAGGCGGCGGATACACAGAGAACTGGAGCAGTCTAATCGGCATCATCACCGCCATAATAGGCAACGTGCTCATCTCGTTCGCACTAAACATGCAGCGATACGCGCATATACGGCTAGACCGCGAATTCCACGAGAAAGAACGGCAGAGGAAGAGGCGGAAGGCGGGCATGGACGATGCGGGGAGATTGGCGGAGGAAGTGCAGAAGATGGGGTTGAGGAGCAGGAGGAGCGAGGGCATGGTTGAGCAGAGGAGACGGAGAAGTAATGGGCAGGAAGACGATATCTTTGAGGCGTCCGAGAGCGATCCGTTGATACCCCGGGATACGAGACCGGCTGTGGGAAGAGAAGACAGTGCTGAGTCGGCCAAGCAGGAGGTGTTCAAGCAGACGTCGTATCTCAAATCGCCGTATTGGTGGTTCGGCATCATTCTCATGACAATCGGCGAGGCGGGGAATTTCCTTGCCTACGGATTCGCGCCTGCGTCTATCGTTTCCCCGCTCGGCGTTGTTGCGCTCATTTCGAATTGCATCATTGCGCCGTTTATGCTCAAGGAGCCTTTTCGCAAGAGAGACGCCCTGGGCGTTGTTATTGCTGTTGGGGGCGCCGTTACCGTTGTGCTTTCGGCGAATGACAATAATCCCAAGTTGGGTCCTGGAGAGATCTGGGATTTGATTAGACGCTGGGAGTTTGAGACGTATTTGGGGATTACGGTGGGGGTTATTGCGTGCTTGATGGTTGCGAGTAATCGGTATGGGGAGAAGAACATCTTGATTGATTTGGGACTTGTGGGGTTGTTTGGTATGTTCACGCGGAATTGATATTGAGGACGAAGGCTAACGGTTCCCAGGCGGATACACAGCGTTGTCTACGAAAGGCGTTGCTTCGCTACTTTCGTACACGCTTTGGCGCGCCATCACCTTCCCCGTCTTCTACCTACTGGTTGCGATCCTCGTCGGCACAGCAGTCATGCAGATCAAATACGTCAACCGAGCTCTCCAGCGCTTCGACGCGACGCAGGTCATCCCCGTCCAATTTGTCCTCTTCACTCTTTCCGTCATTGGCGGATCCGCAGTCCTCTACCGCGACTTCGAGCGCACCTCAGGAGAAGACGCCGGAAAGTTCGTTGGTGGATGCGCCTTGACCTTCTTCGGAGTCTGGCTCATCACCAGCGGCCGCCCATCAAACCATGACGACTCCGACTCCGACCACGACCCAGAACCCGAAGACGCTATCCATCTAGCCGGAGAAACCTACACAGACGCTATAAACGAACCCAGCGAAGAAGGCCCCGGAAGCACACGCCGTTCCTCAACAACACGCGCCCTCTCCCCACCCGCATCCGTCCAACGCCGCTACCAAGACGACACGGAAGAAGACACCCGCCCCTCAACCCCAAACATCACCTTCACCCCCACCGACCCCTCCACCCCACCAAACCCCACCCGCCCCGCCACCGCCGACATAATCTCCTCCCTCGTTGCAAACCCCTGGTCCCAACCCAACGAACCCACCCACCGCACCCCACCCCTAAACCGGCACACCTCAACCCCCGTCCTCCCCTCTGAAGCCGCACCCGCGCCCTTAGTCTCAGTCTCCGACACCGATCTCCCACCGCCTAGCACGCCCACGCGGGGCAAATCGACGAATGAAGTCCCCACGACGCCGGGATCGGGTATGGGACTCAGGAGATTGAGAACGAGTGATCGCGTTCAAAGTGCGAGGAATAGTATTGCGGGGGGTCCGCTGCTGGCGAGTCCGCTGAGTACGAGTCTGAGTACTATGGTTCAGGATTTGAAGCGCGGGAGTGGTGTTAGGAGGAGGGAGAGTCTACTTGCGTTGGCTGCGAGGGATAGAGATAGAGATGGATTCGGACAAGGGGAAGATGGTATGATGGGTGGAAGTGCGGGACTGGTTGTTGGTGAGCCGCTTAGTAGAAGACGGACGAGGGATAGTGCGAATGGCGAGGATGGTGCTGGTGGTAATGCTGGGGCGAGGACGCCGGGTGGTGGGAGGAGGGTTGGCAGAGGGAGGAGTTTGAGTGCGCTTAGTACGTTGAGTGGGCTTTGGAGGGGAATTAGGGGACAGGGGAGTAGGGAGGATATGAGGGCTGAGGAGGGGAGGAGGGACAGTGAGGTGGAGAGGTGATTAGTGTTTGAACTCATGTAGAAGCGTGGATAATCATGATGATTGACGTTTGAATGCTTAGTGGATGATCGTTCGACGTGACATATAAGTGATTGGTTAGGGTCACTATTACGGTTGTGGCTGTCGAATAGAGAGTATAAGCAAGCGCCTCCATTAGACGGGTGGGGGATTCTGGCTCAGAGTTGGGTCTGGCTTTGGGATCTGTGGCTGTCATGGGATGGTTCAGGGGATCCGGCAACAGGGCAAAAGAAGGCAACAGTACAGAACACTGACGAATATACCGACGCCACAGACTGCACTGCAATCTCTAGCGCGGAAGAGCAGTTCAGAATTGGGGCTGTGGGCATCAGATTGGACAGAATGGTGGCCGGCGGGTATACCGGGAGCAATACGAACGAATGACAGGACACCCCAAATATATGTGTGGAAGGCGCGTACCTGCGTCTCCATTGCACTGCAATCTCTAGCGCGGACGAGCTGATGTATACCTATCATTGGCTATGCGCACGTGGACATGTAGGTATGTGACCAGTAGTAAGAGTCCTCCTGAAGTCTGTTCACCGGAAAACCCCATTGCCAAGATGCTCGCCAACGAGCGCTGTGCACTGCAATCTCTAGCGCCGAAGAGCAGTTCACACAAGGCTGATCTTGTGTGTGGTTGGATACCGCGCTTCCGCGGTCGGCCTGGCGTTCAGCTTACACTGCACTTCAATTCCTAGCATGGACGAGTGGTCTCATGCAATCCACATCATGCTATATGGATGAGGGACAGCAGGGGTACGACCAATCGCAGATGCTTCATCATCGACAGAATGGGGACATGCCTTCACCTAATTACGTCGTCTGCACTGCAATCTCTAGCGCTGAAGAGCAGCTGAAGGGCGAGGCTGGAAGGATAAGGCTGAAGGTTTGACAGCCGCACTACAAGTCGTTGCGCGGACGATCTCTTTATGGAAAGCTCATACGACATATTGTAACATCGTAAAAGCTGCTGCGACTGATGGTTGTTTGGTGATGTGTCCGTTCTAGACAGGACGTTCGCAATGGTGGACACAAACTGCACAAAGAACTTGTGTGTCGAGTGTGCCTACTACAAATCATTTTGTGCTGGAGAGTGCATTGTATGGCCTGTGAATGCAGATGAAGAGGAGGCTGAGACGGGTGAAAGCACCGTGAAGTTTGTAAATAAGTAGGTATGGCTGCGTTAAGGGGAAAATGTGTCGAATAAGACAGCTCAGACCGCGGATTTTTCTGCGGCACAGTAACTCCAGCCATTTGCACTGCAATTTCTAGCGCGGGCGACCAGTCTAAGGGTATTCACACCAGGCTGTGTATATGAACGTGTAGCCAATGGTAAACGCTTCATCATCGGAAAATCGGGGGGTCTGACGACAGAAGACTGTTGCCTGAAAGTTATTGCACTGCAATCTTCAGCGTGGAAGAGCAGCTCATAGAACGAGGCTGAAGGACCCAAAATCCAACGACCGTACTGCATGTTATAGCACGAAAAAGCATTTGAAGCGACGAGGCTGGAGGAACCAGGGTGAAGATGTGGAGTTTACGGCCATCACGTGTCCGAAGTAAGCCGTGGGCTTCAGTGTTTCTCATTCATGGGAACTCAGAAAAATCCCGCACTTTGCACTGCAATCTCTAGCGCGGAAGAGCAGTCAAGAACGGGGCAGTGTGCATGATAGAAGATGAGGCATCCTCGGCGAGCTGACGTGATTGGATTGTCTGCCAGAGGTATGCATGGATTTGGCGAGAGCGTCCAATCAAAGTGTGCATTGGCTCTGATCTTCTTCGGGCCCTGCAACTGCACTGCAACTCCTAGCGTGTATGAGGAGTCGAAGAAAGGAAGCTGTCTGCTATTCTATACCCGCTCTACTACCTGTCTATCAGCAGTGAGTGGAACATGCAGCTACATTGTTGGACGGAGACTAACTTTACGGATGCAGCCTCGACAACATGCTCGAAAGTAGATGTCTCTACTGATGACATCTGTGTATGGGAATTTCCCGCTCTACTCATATCAAACGCCGGTTACTATCTGCGATTCTATTCCATACCTAGTTGTCTTCCCCAAATAGATAGCCTCACTTGCATCCTGATCATAGTACAGCTCTAACATCTTCATTGCACCCTATAGCATTGACGAGCATTGCGAAGGACAAGGCTAGGAGCTAGCCTCGCGCAGCGGCAGACAGGTCGTGAGTAGAAATACAGGCAGCAGCATGTGCTTGATTGGATGCCGAGGTCAGTATGAGCCCTCGCTAGATGTGGAGTGCAGGTGCACTGCAATCTCTAGCGTAGAGGAGCAGGCTAATGTAAGGCTGGAAACCCGCTCGTTCTAATAGGAGGGAAATGTAGGTGCGGTATAGCCTAGCCTGTCCTTGATGTGAGCCTCGATGGCAGAATTGAAACCGCCTTAGGGATTGCACTGCAAACTCTGGCGCAGAGAGCAGGCCGAACGACACGTGCAGGGCTGAACTTCAGCATTGTGCGGGGAAAAGACAAGAGAAGTACGAGCAACGATGCGCGGCTGAGGTCTTCCATAGCCAAGCTAATGATACATATGCTATTGGCCGCGGTGTAATGTCAAGGTGCAAGATCCCTGTATCGAAACCTGCCCCCGTTTGCACTGCAATCTCTAGCGTAGAAGAACAGTTGGAGGCAAGGCTGAAGGTTAGCCGTACGCGGTGAGAAGGAACTCTGGACGCACGATTGGTTAGCCTATGTTTGAACTTTGACCCAAGTCTACCTACGTACATGGCAACCGGTGAGTACTGCAATTCCTAGCGTGGAAGAAGAGGTAAGCGAGCGATGCTGTATGGATGAAGATGGCAGATGTGGGGTACTTCGGTACTGCACTGCAACCTCCACCGGAAGACCAGCTAGAAGTGAGGTTGGTTTTCAACCTTACGTAGTGGGAAGGAAGGGGGGAGTCGGCTTTTTCAGTCTCTCGATTGGGAAAGTGCACTGCGATTTCTAGTGTGGAGGACGAGGTAATCGGCCGAGTGCCATTTATGGACACCGTGGCTCTGCTACTATAAGCACTGCAATCTCTAGCGTGGAAGAGCAGCTAGACAAGGCTGGCTCTTAGCCTTTCCATGGTTCTGTGCGACAGGAAAGCGGATTTATGCGCGAGAGCGGGTGTTTGCCTATACCAAGGAGGCTCTGCTAGCAAGAGGGGCTTGTACTGCAATTTCTAGCGTGGACGACCTGTTGTTGTCTTGGCAAGTTCAGACGACGAGGGCCTGTGGTAACTCTGCAGACGCCGCAATCGACGGCTTTTGATAACTTGCCTAATTCGGCCTGTGCGTCAGACAACGCGCAACACCAACGTCCAACCCCTCCGAGAATCAGGTTCAGGCGACAACGGTGGGAGTGCGGATGGCGGTAGGAGGGTTGTGAAAGTTGCTACGATCCACACCTCATAGCGAACCTGCCTAATCGGGGCTGTGAGTATCCAGGTGGTGATGTATCGAAGGTGTCAACATCTTGGTAGACAATATACACCTACTATCCACACCTCCCCCGACCTACCCAATCCAGCTTTCTACTACGCTCATCACTTCTCCGTCATCCGCTCGAAGAAGCAGAAACTCAATCCCAAGAATTTCACCTAAGTCCACCACCACAGCAAACTTCACAGCACCTACAAACCTCATCCAGATTACCCGATTAGGAAGGTTCAGCTTAAGTGTAGATTATGGCAAGGTGTCTTCGTGCTCCTGCGCGCCCTCGACGCGCTGCTCGACCTTGCCGTCGCCGCCGCGAGGTTTGCCATGGCCGTGCTGACAGCGCTGTTCGCCGGGGTAGCTGTGGTCGCCGTGGTCGCGCAGGCCACCAGATTCGCGCAGTCCGCACTGTTCGCGAGGTCTGCCATGTTCGCGCGGTTCGCTCAAGACGCGGCGTTCGCGAGATTCGCACACTTCGCGCGGTTCGCACCACTCGCCCAGTACGCCCAAGTCGCTCAGCACGCCCAGCACGCCCAGGTCGCTCCCATCTCGCTGCCAGCGCGCCCAGTGCGCCCATGGGAGCTCACCGTCATCTACACCCTTCTACAACTTACCCGATTAGGCAGGATTCCAAACCTCCACCACGACCACCAACTCCCCTGTATCCACCATCTCAACCGCTCGGCGCTATAACAACTCCATTCCTGTAAAGCTGTGAGCTGTGGATGTCGCGAACAGTCGATAAATCTTAAGTAGCGGATGCACACGTAGCAGAAGTGTAGACACGTGCGTATGCGTTGGAAGGTAGGTAGGAGAGGGCGTACGGGGTGGTTGGAGTGTAGGAGAGTGAAACCGCGATCCACGGTTTTTGACAAGTTACTAGATTAGGAAGGAGTTTGATGTGAGATGGGATGGAAAATGTTGTCAAGAAGTAAAGTCATGACGAAGGTGTGGAGTATCATGAGAATGTTCGAGTGGATAAGTGTACGAGGATGTGCATGTCCGAACACCACGATACGCACCACCTCAATCTCTGCTTCGAACGAAGCATCGCAATGCTAATACAAACGCTATCATCCCTATACGCCAACGATGCAAAACCAATTCGCTCTTCTTGAAAACCAAAGAATATCGTGCACCCGTCAGGTTCCAGACATCACTCCCCGCTACCCCCCGCCCCATCAAAGTTACTATGACTCCGTCTCAGCGGACTCCTCTTCTTCTTTCCCTGTCCTCCGTTCGCAACTCCATTCCCAAGCCCACCTCCACCACCATGCGCGTTGCCGTTGCTCCCACCCTTCTTCTTCCTCTTCTTTCCCGGACTCCCTATGCTCCCCGGCGAGCCCGGCGACCGTGGCGAGTCTAAAGAGCCTCGCGGCACCATCTCCTCCACCTTCCCCCGTCCCTGCGCATTGTCCTGCTGCCCGGCTTCCTCCGCCTTCAATAAATCCATAGCGCGATCCACCTCTTCCCAACTTGGTCTACTATCTCTTGTCCCATTGGGTGTCGCAGGCCCGGATTGTGTTTCTAGAACTTGGATTCGGGCGGCTTGGTCTTCTGCCGTCGATACTGCCGACGTAGGTGTTGGAGGGACATTTTCTTTTCTATCGTCGTGTTCTGGGTTGTCTTCTTGGTGGTTGTGGACGCCGTTTACGCGGATAGGTGGACTTGACATGTCTTCGTCTCGATGGTCGCCGTTTCTGTGTATAGTTGAATGGATGGTAGGCGTTGTGGGTGTAGGCGGACTGTATTCGATCTGCACCGGACTTCTCAGACCATCGGTTTCGGCATCAGACAGATTGTGTTGACCACCGCCGTCACTGTCGTTATGGTGGTGATCGCTGAGGTGTGCAGACGCGTCGCTCTTCCACATGTTGCGGAAAGTGCGGCGTTGTCTCGCCATGCCTGACGTATCTGGTGGGCTGCGCGGAGGCGAGGACTCGAAGAAACTGGTGTACCTGTTGCCTAGCTGCTGTACAATTGGTACATCGGCCGTGGATCCTAGGGTACCTGATCTGACGAAGAGGACGAGACCCAGGCAGAGTAGTAGAAGCGTGGATTGTACAACGGCCATTCTCTTCTGCCAGACAAGTTCGTCCGCCATGAGGCTTAGACGAGTGCCTATCTCGCCGATCTCGGACTGCTGACGCTCTTTCATGCTTTCTATCTCGATGACTGTGCTCTGCCACAGCTGGTCGTACATGTTGCGGAAACTCTTGAGTTCTAACATGACCGTACTATTAAGATGGTCCAAGAACTTCTCTGTCTTTGCCAGTTGCCTCTTTTCCACTTTCACAAATGCATCTCTGAGAGCGCGAGACTGCTCTTCGATGTATTGTAGTGAGAGCGTGCTGTTAGCCTCGAGGTACTGGAGACGCTTGTGTATCGACTTGAAGAACGATTCTTGCGTTGAGGGTGCTGGCGCATTTGGCTGTGTAGATGACCCTCGTCCTTGCGATGGCGGACTTGCAACAGTGCCGTTGTTCGATGGCTTTGCTGCTGGACTGCTCGAAGAAGAGCCTACGGTGTTCGCGGTCTGCGTTGCAGCGCTGTCAACTCGAGACGAAGAACTTGAAGGGTTGATCGTAGAAGCTTCAGAAGTAGGGCTCTGAGCCTGTGGGGTAGAATCTGTCGGACTTGGCGAAGGGACTTCCAGTGACTTTGTCTCCCCACTAGCTGTACTGTTGTCGTTGGTGACTTCGTGATTGCTTGTCACCGACGGAGATGAGATGGTTGTCGAGTCTGGCACAGGCTGATGCTGGGGATCATCGATCGCTGGCTCTACCATGGCAGTAGACGACGGAGGACTCCCGTATGGCACGTCGTTACGAGGCGACTCAGACTTGACGTCCGGAGAGACATCTCGCTGAGCAACGTCGCTCGCCGCTGAGGCCTCCGAATTGGTGCTGAGTTCCTTCACCGCTTCGATCGGTATCTCCTCTGGCGGCAAGGGCCCACTATCCTCAGCCGCCTTCTTGACCTCAACACCCTCTGCCTCCAGATTCTCGTCATCTTCTATCCCTCTCGCCTCCTCTTCCTCTTGCCTAAACTGCTCCATCATCGTCGTACCATGGACACGCAAAACACTAAGCGGGCAATAGTACTCATTTCCAAACTGAGTCAGAAACTCCACACGCAGATACCGCGCCCAGATTTGTGGTTCAGTAATGAGAAACGGCTGAATGTCTCTCGAATTCCTCGCCTCGAACGTGCCCAGTGTACGCCACTTCTCCATCTTCACAGGATAGCGATCAGACACGCTTACCCTGAAATGACGAAACATGGAAGAGAAGAACTCGTAGTTAGCGAGAACGATGGTGTCTACGAGAATGTCGTCACAGAGCTCTACTATGAGGAACTTGTTGTCTGCGGAACATATGTTCAGCATGTAGCTGTCCTTGTTCTCCACCAAGATGGAAGACGAGCTCTTCGCCTGCTTGTTGGTCTTCAACACCGTAGCTGCACAGTCGAACGAAGCGTAGTTGAAGCGCTCCTTGCACGTCTTGCCCGCATCTTTGCTGAGGGCAAATGAGTTTGGTGCGACTTTGCCCTCTCCACCAGCAGCTTTTGAGGCATCAGCGCTCTGTTTGCCGTGCTGGAAGTTGTTCGCCATGTTCTCGTCGTCCGGTGACCCAAAGCCACTGAAGTCGATAGATATCTCGCCCTCGTCGCCGAGCGAGTCTAGGGCGTTGACGTTTACGGGTCGTCGCCGTACGGCTTGGTCTGTGCCTGCTGCCCGTCCTTGTCCGACGTTTTCTGGCGATTGACCGACCTTGGCCAGGTTCCTCTTCTTCCACTCGTCAAAAGAGAGGAAGTTGGCGTTGTCGAATGGCGAGTCTGCTTCCAAGTCAAGCTCCGGCTCTGTGCTCGCTGTGTCGCTGCTGGATGCAGTTGAGGTTGCGCCAGTTTCATCGGCCTTGGTGGCTACTGGGGTTGCGCCTTTGTCTCCTGCAATGCCTTCTATTTCTCCATCTAAACCAGGTGTTGGAGTCTGTAGACCAGCTAGAGCTCCTTCCTCAGCGCCCGTACCATTGGTCGCTCCTGCCTCGGCGGGCGCTGACCAGCTCGTCTTTGCGCATTGCTGCGGGAGCGTATGCGTGATGTAGTTTATAGTGCGATACGGACACGTGCTGTGACTCGAGGTGTATCTCCGGACTGACGACGGTGACAGCGACGACGAGGACGTGGGCGAAGGCGCGGGGGTAGAGGTATGCTGCGTCGTGGCACCTGAGTGTGCAGTAGCGCTCGATTCGACGGTAGGCGCCTCATTCGCTGCCTCAGCGAGGGTGGACGCGGGTGCGCTGCATAGCAGCAGGAAGAGAGCCCAATTACGGAGCGGAGTGCCAGTCGTGAGCATTGCTTGGTTGCATTTCTTCGAGCCGCCCAGTGAAGTCGAGGAGGGACATGGGGTAGGCCAGGAGGAGCTGGGGTTGCAGGCGCGGCGTGAACAGGCGTTCGCGTTCCTCAAGACACGTTTGATTGTTTCACCGCTTGCCTAGTGAATGGCTGCGGCGCCTCCAACCTTGGAATGTTTAAGCGATGACGTTGCCAAGAGATAGAGATGTCCGCCATACTTGACTCACGTCCATCACATGCCATCTGGAATGTTTGCATCTGCATGTCACTCTGCACGTCATGAAATAAGGTTGCTCAGATGTGTAAATGCATGGTAGACATATGCAGGGTCATGACTGATAGCGCGGCACGCGGCACGCTCATATACAAAATGCGTGCTTTTCGTATAGAATTTCATGAAGCTGCTCTACCCTATGCAGCCGCAGTACCCATTAACAAGCGAGCGAAGGTCTACACCCAAACCATACATTCCGCCACCATCGCTCTGCAACGTCATACGCCATCATCTAGTACTCGTGTGTATCGTTATGGTGATCCGTTGATGCCGAGAGGAGAAAACGCCATACGAGAGTGCAACAAGCTGCCGATGCCCAAAATCTCGCTATGCTGTGGCATCGGGCGTAAAGGGGGTATGTCCAAAATAAGAAATCCAAGTCAAGAAACGAACGCAAACATCCAGACAAATGGCTCAAGATCCGTGTCGTGTGAGCGAGGACGAAGGCTAAGAATATGGAGGTCCAGCCGTAATCAAGTGGCCTAAAAGCCTTCGTTGCCTGCACGGCAGACCTTGGCCTCGGAGACCCATTCAGAAGCGAGCACTTGGTGCGCAGTCAGGCGGCGGGCAGGTATAGGATCGAGGATTGAGTAGATGACGTTACGACATTGTCGCTGGGTCTTGTTAGTAGAATTTCATGAACAGTACATGTCAAGACTCACTCTTCGCAAAACCTCAATGGGTCGATAACCCTCCTCCTCTTTCCGGTCCTCGAGGTAGCGGTCGAAGAACTCGTCTTCGCCTTTTTGAGCCACACGCCAGAGGTGGCGCCCCGTCCTCATGGCCATGTAGATGATACCGCAGGCCCACACATCGACAGCACGGGGGTCGAATTCCTTGTCCACGTACTCCTCGGGTGCAATGTAGGGGGCCGAGCCGCAGAGACCGGCTGTCATGTGTGCCTCCTTCTCCCAGGCCATACGGAAGCACTCGCCATTGCCAAAGTCTGTGATTTTGATTGACCCGTGCGTGGTAAGGAGCAGATTCTCGGGCTTCAGATCCCGATGTGCGACACCCATCTCGTGCATGTACTCTACACCGCGCATCAGCTGCTTGAAGAAGCAGTCTGCCTCGGCTACCTCGAGCTGACCAGCTGCGAGGACGAGCGTGTACAGATCACCCCCAGAGCAGTATTCCATAACCTCGCAGTATGTGCCCTTTTCGTCCTGGAGCAGGTCGAGCGTGGTGATGACGTTGGGATGTTGCATCGAAGAGGATATGCAGAATTCGGATGTGAGGCGCTTCTGGTATCGCTTGGCCGACTCGCCGGGTCTTTGCTTGAACTCCTTGACGGCGTAGAGCTGCTCTCGTTTCGAGTCCTTGGGGTCCTGCTTGTGTGCGACGCGGACGATACCAAAGGCACCGCGTCCGACGACCTCCTGGCACTTGCCGTACTTCTGGACCAGCGTCTGCGGGAGGGCGTTGACGGCGTTCTTCTGCTCAGCGAGCTTCTCCTTCTCGTTGCGCATGACGTCGACCCAATTTGACATGAGACTGAGCGGCTGGTCCTCGGCATTGTCGCCCTTCTTCTTGCCGAGCATGAGACTCTGGAACATATCGGACAGCTTCTCCTGGCGCTTGGCGACCTTGAGAACGTGCTCGTGGGAGCCGTCGTCGTTGAGCCAGAAGCGCTTGTAGGGCGCGCCGGGCCCCTCCTTCCTCGTGACGGAGCCCTGGCGTACAGGCTGGGGGCGGCCGTTGGGCGAGGTGCCGTTGGTGGCCTTGACGTCGCCGTTCTTGTCCATGTGGGCGGTCTTTATGCCCATCATGCTGCTGAGGCGCGACGTCATGGTGGGCTTCTTGGGCTTGAGCAGCGCTTCGGCGGCGGCTTGCACGCTGCTGGCGCCAGACTGGTTGACGACGGGCTGGGGGAGGACGACGGTGGTGTCGGGCTGCGAGTGGACTGAAGAGGCCGTCGAGGCAGAGGCGGACGGCGAGCCCGCAGATTTGAGCGCCGTGCTGGGTGGGTTGTTGGTCGTGGGAGCCGCCATGTTCCCTGCTTTTCGTCTCTCGCTGGCCGGCGCGGCTAGGAAGTGGTGTGGGTCTTTTCTATGGGGAATATGGGTTTGGAGACGCAGGTGTCTCGCGGGCAAAAAGCCCAGGTGCTGTTATTGTACGGCGGTCAAAACGGCGTATCTGCGTCGGCGGGTGGTGGTGGAGATGAGGTTCGGAAGGCGCGCGTGGGGCGATTTGTAGTGCAGAAACACGGTGACTGTGAAGGAGTCGTCGCCAGGCGCGAGCGGGCAGGTCGGGCAGGCGCGCGCAGTGTGAAAGGCGTGGGCGGGCTGACAAACGCCGTCGCGGTGAGGTCTGGGGCGGCTTCAAATTGCGTCCACCACGGGATCCGGAGCCACAGCAGAGTGGCTGTGCACGCGTGCCGAGCAAATGCGGATCAGCGGCAGATGATGTCGTGGGCTGGGCTGGGCGAGGGCTGCGTGGCCGGTATCCGCGATGGGCAGCACGACAGCGAGCGCGGCGGGCTTGGGGACTAGGAATCTCGGAATCTCTTCACGAGGCCTGACGTCTAATATTCAACTAATATTCAGGTGTGCGAGGGGTAACCCATGGGTCAGTGTGCACTGCCTCGAAGCCGTGTACGTCTTGACGCAACAGGCCTGGCTTGCGCGATTTTCATCTTCTTCATGTACGCCAGTCGTCGCAGTTGACCGCTGCAATCTCACAAGTGTGCGGGCCATCGGCGAAGAAGCCTTGTCCTAGCAATGACAAGAAACGGCACATGCTTAGCTGTCTTTATTGTCTCTACTAAACAATACTGGATTTAATAATTGCTTCAACAATAAAATCCATCCCATCGCTAATAGCCATGAGCTCATACAGAGCTCTACAGTGGAGCGTTGCCAGCTTGCCTTCCTGCTTCCACTCGCTGACGTAGGGCTACCATCAAATTCGTCCTGAGACATATTCCCAATCCGGAGCATGACATCTTCCCACTACCATCTGACTGGTTTCTGCTCCCACCAAGTACTGTGACGCACCACCAGGGCCCCTTCCATGATCCCGTTTGTCACCATTTCTCCATTCCCGAGGTCCGCCGAAACATGCGCCGGCAAATACTATCGTCGAGCCCAAGCTAATTCCATCAAGCGCTGCTGCACCTCGGTCCTGTCCCGCACAGCTTCACAAATGCTTGGTCAGCCACTCTTGACACTGGTCAATGAGGAGAGGTCATCTCATGCAGCAATTTCCAGAGACCGCGCGAATTACAGAGCCTGAAAACCTTTGTTTACATCTCACCAACTATTATTTACACTTCCGCGATACATAGGGAGAGGGGCACTTCCTCAAACCTTGTGCCCCGCATTGCAGCCATGCAGCAACCTGAGATGGCGCCCCTCATCGTCTCCTCCCCACCACTCCCAATCCACTTCACCATGCACACCGCAACTCGCTACACCAGCCCCATGCATCACGACACTCCTGGTACCCTCTCCGACCACTAACAAATACCGCAGCTGCCGCTCCAAGTCAAAGGGCGAGCTGTCGTGCAGCAATCTCGCTGCATCCTGCAAGCCATTATGCACCAACGGCTACAGCTGCTCCATCCTCGCACTGACCTCTTATTGCCCTCTACGACGGAAGGAACCATTCACTCGGATCTACACAATACAAGGTTGCATCTAGCCAGAACCCTTCTTATTGGTCGCGGCGTATACTCTGGAGTCGTCTCAACTGCCCTTCTTAGAGGCCACGCTACGCGGATTACCGCGCACTCGTCATTTCTCTGCCGTAATCTTGGGCTGCGGTTGGCATGCGCGTGATCGGCTTCGTAACGTGTCTTGTTGTTCCTTCGCCCTGCAGTCTCAGGCACACTGCTCGGAACAATAATGCGCTCAAATCGACCTTCGTGGCAATGATCGGGCCAAGATCTTCGCCCCATGCTGAGCGCTCAACGGTCAGCAAGCACCAGTTGGCACTTCACCCGCTGCCGTCAGGTAACACACGACCAGGCTCCTATGTGGATAGACTCGGCCCGGGTAAGCGGGCGATTTGCAGTCGCGTTCCTGACTTGCTGCGCGACTCGAAACGACATCTGCTGCCCGTGGCGGCTGAACTCGCGGTGATTGGTTGATCTGGCTCTAGGGATAGATTTCTCACACGCGACGCAAGTACCCGCACGTTCGTTAGATGCTGGTTCATCACACTGACCGCGACTTACGCGAATTTCGGATCCGGCTGTACGGGTAGTGCCCTGCCATAGGGCCGGTACCTCGAGGGCGATGGATTGCTCCACGTGCCGTGGCTGGTGGTAGAGACAACGACCACGTTTGGCAGAAAGCGATCGACAATCATGGAGGTCGGTGAAGAAGCAAACAACACAACTTTTGACGTATCCTCATCGTTTCACGGTTCGATTGCAATTATCAACACACCCCATGGCGTAGTTTGGTAATACCTTCCACAACCCACCGCTATCACGACGAAAGTACTGCTTCATTGGATTGCTATGGAGTTTGCCCTCGTGTCATCAAAAACTCGATATTTCGTATCGTTCAAGTTCTTTGACTAACTTCAAAAGACCTCATGGAAGCACCATGTGCAGCCACTTTCCTTCTGGCATCATCCGGCACAGCGATACTCTACACATGGCCATTTACATGTATCAGTCATGGACGACGATCCTAGCGCTTGCACAGCTTCGGGGTTAGCGTACAATCTCGTAGATATAAAATCTGGCGTCTTCCACTCCATACATCTCCCAAATCCACCATCCAACTTCCAAAATTCCGAAAATATGTGGAACCATTATCATGTCTTTCTCCGGTCGAGAGCTTTGAAAATTTCCACTTTTCCCAAAAGCAGCTCCGTTGGCCCGATGTCCTGTCTCCCACGAAAATCTGCGAAGGAGTTCGTGATGGGTATTTCGGGTGCTGTGTGACTCATATTCTATCATTGAATAGCCCTGTATCCTCCAAACTAAAGCTGCATGTTGGTTGTTCCATGCCTTCCCCTGGTTGACTGCTTCCGCAGCCCTGGCTTCAAAACAAAAGATGTTGGCCGCTATCCATGGCCGTCTGGAAAAGCAGGCAAGACTGAGAACATGACCCGCTCTCGCTCGTCTTGCGACATATATAAACCTGCCGCTTGGGCGCATAGTCCTCCTCGATACTTACTTCTCCTCCATTCACCAAAACAGAGGTTCGACGTTATGATGTCTGTCTTCTCGAAAAATGGTCTCACATTTGACGATGTCTGTGCTTCCAAAAGACTTTGAAGCAAAGGAAATGTCGCTTCCTCTTCCAAAAGAGTGAGTCTGAAAACACATGGGTTGCGCGCAACATCCCGCGACATACGTCGATACTCTGTGTCGGAAAGCATTGCTCCTTATCATCACACACTTGACTCTCTACCAAAAGTTTGAGTCTCTCACCTCATGTTGGTGCCCGCAGAAAACCTGTACGATTCTAGCGATGTCTTTCCCTCTTCCCAAAACATGCTAGGTCGGATCTTCATGGGTCGCCTTTCCGTTCTCCCAACACATATAAATACGCAGGGGCTTGCGGACCCCTTGTCTTTGGCACCTCTCGTTTCGACAGTTCCATCATAAGCGACTGTGGTATGCGCGATGACTGCGCCTTTACAAGGCGACTAATATCGAGTACATGTTCTCCGCTCTTTGAAGTCGCTGGTGTAAATAGCGATGGACTTCTCCTCGGCATAGGCAGGCGGTATAAAACCACTTCTTCGACACTCTTCTTCCTGCCTCAACACACATTCCGTCTTTCTTCAAAGAATCGTGAGACATCGGAACATGTCCGCAGTTCCTGAAACATGTGTTGTGCTCGACCATGTCGTTCGCTCTTCCGGAAACGGGCGGCGCACACAACCATGGACTGCTGGTCTAGTTCCACAATCTTTACAAAGCCACGGTTTCAGCAGCCTGCTTTCTTGCTCAACACACACGCCGTGTCTTACCAAAATGGACGGCGTTTCTCTGCATGTCTGCGGCCTTCCAAAAGTCCCTCTTAGCTCGCTTATGTTCTCCGCTTTTCCGAAATCGCCGCAGGTGCATACAATGTGTCGGTCAGTCGGTGCCGCTGCTGGTATAAAGCACCAGTTTTGAAACGCGGCTTCCTACACCAACACCTATTGTCCTTGATTACAAAAACTCAAACATCTCTGAGTATGACTGCCTTCAAAAACGCTTCGGGAAATACAAGATGATTCTCTTTTCCAAACAGCCATTCGACACCTCGATGCGGCGCTCTCCTGGCCATGCTGGACCTCTGTATAAAACTACGACCTCAAACAGTACTTCCTTCTCTAACACACCTCTTTGAGCACTACCAAAAAAACATAACAGATGTAGCTAATGTCTGTGTTTCCTAAAAACGCTGCTCCCTCATGAAATGTTCCTCTTTTCTGAATCCTTAGGCACAAGCGCTATGTCGGCGCTCTCCTGGCTTTGCTGTCGATATAAAGCGATAGTCGCGCACCTTCCTTCATCCTTCAACAAAGCACGCTCTTATGACCAAATACAAAGAAGAACCATTGCATGTCTGCTTCTCCAAACTTGGTCGCTGCGCCCGACATGTTCCTGTCTTCTAAAACAAAGAGGAAACTGCAAATGTGGTGCTCTCCTGGCTGCGGTTTCGGTGTGAAGCTACGACCTCCATAGTTCGGTCCTGATCCAACAAAGCATACCCCATTTACCAGACCACAACATCATTACGCGTATGTTTGTGTTTCCAGAATTGGCATCGATGTCATATCTTTCTTCCTTCCAAAGAACACGTACAACTGCCTATGCGGTGGTCTCCCGGCTCTGCTGTCGATATGAAGCTACCATCCAGCTTCTTGTCCTAAGCATCAACGGCGGTTTTGTCAATTACCAAGACTCCGATTCGACACGACTATGTTTGCACTGCTCAAAATGACCAATCACCACGTCATGTGTTCCTTTCTCCGAGAAGCATAGGCGAACACTCCTATGTCCAAGGCGCCGCTGCCCTTGGGAACCATATAAAGTCAC